TTATGGGGGATCCATCTCCAAACAGGTCAGACAGGACGGTCTAGAGTCTATGGTATGTAGATGAAGTAAAGAAGTCAAGAAAACAAGAAAAAGCAACATCCCAGCAGTCACAAAAAGGGGTGCCGAACGAACGGAGGAAGTCGGGGTGCCCATTCTCCACTATCCACGGCCCCTGGATGGGACGAACAAAACCACCCAACTCCATGTGACCCCTGGTCAGTCATCTGACTGGTGCTTAGTAGAGAATGAGGGAATGAGCCCCAATAGAGGTTCCTTTGGATCCAATCCCTCATCCCCTATACGAGTCGCACCAGTCAGCTGGTCAGTCACCCCGCTTTGATCTGCGCCACTTCGCCGAGCCGCCGAGATCGATTCGATCCCATCGCCCGGCTCGAAGACCACGCTGCCGCTCGCCGCCTCGTAGGTCTCGCCCGCCTGAGGGCTGACCCGAGCCCTCAACGCGGGTCGCATCCCAGTTCTGAGGGTGAAGATGGCAGACCTTGGGAGACCTTGGAACCACCGTCTTGTGGAGGATTTGGGAGGGGGTCCGGTAAGAACTGGACCTGTCAGATTGATTCATGCTTCCCTCACGAGAAGTGTGGTTGTCAGGGTGGCATGTGGTGTCTTTTGGTTGCGGGGCGTCATCGTAGACTCTGGACGATCATTTCAACCCCCAAGCCTGAAGAGGTTTTACAATCCAAGTCTGGGGGCTGTGGTTTTCAGTCATGAATTTTTAGGGTCTACACTAGGCTCGGGAGCGGCCTCTTGGTGGTGAATTGCGCCTTTTGGAACCCCAAGCCGTCAGCCGTCCGGCTTCAAACATGTTCGTCAGACCAGAAAACAAATCCGAACAGAGGGGTCCATTGCACCTTTGTCTATGCCAAGGTCTCCCACCAAGGTCCGCCATCTTCAACCTCCCAAACTGGTCTCTCCCGCTTCCAGCGACCCCTCCCAAATCCTCCACAAGAAGTGGCTCCAGTGATCTCTTGTGAGTGACCACCCGAACCCGCGGGGGGAGGAACATACCAAGGCACTAGCGAGGCACAGCGACGCTTACGCGACGCTACCAAGAACGAACCCCGCCTTCCCTGCTCCGTCCTGACGCGGTTCGGCGGGAAGGGCCGCCAGGTACTCTTCCACCAAGAAACCAAGGAAGTCATTGGCATTGGATCACTATAGGTAAGGGGCTGCTGTTGGCTGGTGCAACTCAGCCAGTTGCAGTCAGTCATGTCACTTCTGAGGGGGTCACTGTTGCCATCCAGAAAGTAGCTACTCAGCGGTTTCCTCGCACGCGAAGTCTCTGCTTCTCCCACGGGACCCGTCAGTGAACGAGTTTTGCCCCAGGTCCTTGGTCTGCCAGCGGACGGAGGAGCGCTGCGATTGGTCTCCTGACCATGCGGGAAGGAAGCCGTGACTTGAAGGCCAACGTGGGCAATGGTGCATAGCGTGGCCCATTGTATTCACAACCCCCCTCTTTACTTCTTTGTACGATTTTCTATGACAGATTAGCCCGCAACTCAACCTGGTTGATAGGGAACACCGCCAACCAACAGCAAGCCGTCGCCTACACCGCCAGAAACTCCTCGCCGCGGCCGAAACCAGACGTGATGGACGCCGGCCTAAGCGGATGACGTCCAGGTGGACTACGCCTTCCTCTTCGTCAGCCACATAGACATAGGCTGAGAACCTCGGAAGGGGCCTGTGGCCACCGTCAGCCCAAACCCATCCGCCACCAAAAATTTGAGGGCTGCCTGCATTTAACCCATGCTCGAGAGCTGGGGAACACAAGGATCAACATGATCAACAGTCCTTCATTCATATAATTCATCGACATGGATCAACCTCGTCGTAACCCACCCACCTTGCGCAAGTCCCAAGAGGCCCCGTCCTCTTTCGTGGGTCCCGTTCTCCCAGGTCCATCCCAAAACCCTCCCTCCAAGCGACTGAACCAAGGGCACCATCGCCTCCCGCGCCACGGGCGGCAGCTTCTCCGCCTCCAAGGTGTCCGCGCGCGGCGAGCCCAGCGGCACGTCGCCCTTCAGCTGCTCCGCCCGCACCCTGGCGGGCACCATGTCACCAAGTGATGTGGGACGTGAAGTGGATCTGGAGTTAGAGTCCTTCCAATTCCTAATCAAGTGACACCTCCAAAGAGGTTGGAAGTCCGAGTTGCATGGCATATCATGGCACATAAGGGATCATAAGGGTGCAAGTGAACCGGCCCCCCGTTCGCCCTTCTGAGTGGCCGCACGATTTGAGCTCCTTGGGCGTGGCACTCAAGTTCTTCTCGAGCGCCTCAGTGGAGAGATGCGAGACTCGGAGTGACGTCAACGGACTCGGAGAAGCACTTCTTTGGCCAGTCCATCCACATGACCAGCTTGCATCTTGATGCCCAAAAAGACTTGTATCTTGAGGTCGTCTCTTGCACATGCCATGTGAGCTCTTCATAGATCATCCGCCTGAGGTCTTCCAGAAGCCCCGGTCGACATCGCGTGCCCCCGCGGCGCTGGGTGTGCCCGGCGGCCACCCGTTCGATGAGCCCCGGCCGGGCCGTGGCCAACTTGCCCAGCAATTGAAACACCTGGTCCAGCGAAGCCCTACACTCCGACGAACACGTCACATGGAACTGGAGTGAAAACCCCGCGGTGTTGTAAAGGAAAGGAGTCTTCCAAGGGACCATGCCGTCCACTTCCATGTTAGTGAGTCAGAGTGTAGGTGAAGGAGGAAAGTTGATATTCGGATCCTTCAAAGTAGAATTTGTTTGCTGTCGGGCCGTCAGGGTGCATTTGGACTATAAAATGTAGACTCTTGATGATATTTTTACCTCCCCCCTCAGGACATGGATTGAAGAACCTCTTCAAGCCTTGGAGGGGTGAAAATATAATCAAGAGTCTAGATTAGGTGGTCATTTCGCGTCGCATCCTTTAACCAGCATCCCCAGCATACCAGCATACCTCTAAAGGAAGAGGTCCCTTTTGGATCGGCTGATCCATTGTTCCAGCGAAATGCTGGATCGGCTGGATCCTCCAGTTTGCTCGCAGTACCGTGGCCGAAGCCTTCATGATGTTTTTGTGAGTGGTTGGGAGGCTCAGCGATACATTGGGTCCCCACATCTGTCTGACACACAGCTCCCCATCATCAAATCACCCATGGCCCATGAGCTTCTCCGTTTTCGCACCTCGTCGCCCCAAGCACTCGCTGACCGTCATGGTCACCGTTGTACCCTTTGGAAGGGGTCGAAAAGGGAATCTTCTCTCTGTCTAACCATGTTGGAGTAGAAAGGAGCAGGAACAAGAATGGGCCCCGCAACACCCCCGGGCCTAGGGAGCCTCTCTCTTTAAATGCACATACCTACCAAACCCCCACAAGAAGGGGTTCATGGACGCCGCGAAAATCCTCTTGTCCGTCCTTTTCGGGGCTAGTGTTAGACATCCCGAACCGGGGCCTTGGTAGCTTAGTATATACCAGCACCTTCAAAGGGGTCACCTGGCTGGAAGCCCCTGCCCTACACTACCTAGGGGTCTCCAGACAGGACACCCTTTTGAAGGTCCAGGTGTAATTATTTGCTTTGCTTTTTATCATCGTTCATTGTTATATATACCCTGGGAGTCAAAGACTATAAAAAGAATGGTCTTTAGGTCACCCGAGAAGGAATATCCTTTGCATCAGTCGGTCAAAATATAGTCTTTGGACTTAGGGTATGTTTATGCTACTGATACTGAGCTCCCCACTTGAAGAACCCTGAAAGCCTCGTGTTTTCGTCCATGACGTGGGCCGAATCAGCAGAGCTTCGAGGTGTTCAGGTCTCGCCTGGACATCGGTGGCATCAAGGAGCCATTGGGTCACCGCCTGCTCCTCCTGGTCGCGTCTTCACGTGGCTTCACGTGGCTTGGGCACGTGGCTTCACGTGGCGTGCTTGGCACCGTTGGGAGCACGGCTCGGTTGTTGGGAAACGGCCCGGGACGTTCAGTTTCACGGGCTGAAGCCTGTAGGTGGAGGGTGTTAGATGATGTTCGATGGTTTTGTTAGTTGATATGTTTTTTTGGGGGAGAAAGGTCAGATGCCTTTGAAGGTCGTGGAGGGTGAAAAAGAAGCGGCCGTTCCTGGTGCAGATGTTCTCGTTGCAATCTTGACATCACCAAGCCGCAAACAAACATCCCACGAAGCGTCAAGGGATGCCCCAGGTTTGGTTCGTCAACTTCGATTTGTTGAAGGAGCCGGAAAGGAATTCAATATAATAAATATAATTCACCATCTTACCCCCGTTTCCGGGAAATGACCAGGACAAGGAAAGGAATCACCCGATCAGCAAAAGCAAACGCTAACATAACTGACTGGTGCGACGAAAGCAAGGAATAGGGGTGGGAATAGTAGAACCTGAGGCTACAGGGGGCAGTTCATTCCCTCAATTCCCTGAGTAAACCAACCATTCCTACAGAGGTTAAGTGACCTGAACTAGGACCCTACAGGGGTACCTATAGGATAGTCTAGTTCGGGTTCTGACCCACCTCTGCTGGTGTTCTTCAATGTTCAGCCGAGGTTGGAGCCCCCCTTTCTCGGACCGACATCGACGAGGTCGGGATGTGGAGATCCACCATCCTTACCAAAGAACCATTGGTTTACTAAGCAGTTTAGTCATTCTACACTACAAACATGAAGCCAGGTAAGTGTGTTCTTATTAATTGCCTTTGAAGGCTAGGGCCTAGGGGACCTAACAAGGAAGGTGCTGGTGGATGGTTCTCCCATCTTCTCCGCGCAGCTGCCGAGGTCCTCCTTCTCTGAGATCTTGCTCTGGCTCCGCAGGAGAGGCTCGGCCCCTGAAATGGACGACGAAAACTCGGGGGGATCCATGATGCCATGGGGATCTCAAGTCTGATCTGTCACGCTTCGTCTCCCAACTGCATGTGCTGCATGTGAGCACCCAAGGCCAAGCACTACAGTTGCTCCAAGAAAAAAACAACAGCACCCAGGCGCTGACTTCCTCGATTCCTCGATCCCCTGACTTCCGAAGTTGGCCCAAGGCCCACGGCCGCCGCCTTCGGGGCTTTCCGTCTCGCGCTCCGAACGCTCCAGAACCCGGTATCCCGCGGGAGGCATGCGGCGGCCGCGGAAAGGGACGACGACGACGCCGCCGCGGCCGGGGATCTCCGCCGCTGGAGCCGTGAAGAGCCGTGGCGCGGAGCGTTCCTGGCCGATGTTCAGATCATCTCCTCCTGGGTCCTAGAGGTGTTTGGGAGAGCCTGAAGCACCAGGTTGCAGCTGTCCAAGTGCAAAACCCCTATCCTTGATCAGCAGCCCACCCAAAAAAAGACCTCGGCACCCATAGAAACCTGCAGGGCTCCCGGATCGCCAGGATTGCCCGCCAGCATCTCTCTCTCTCTCTCGATCGACGTGCTTTTCCTCAGTGAGTCCTCTGCTGTTGCTGTCTTCCTTTTCCCCATCGGAGTCTTGAGCCCCGAAACTTCGGGAAGAGCCACCGACCAGTTCTTCTGAGATCGCCGAGTTTTTCTCGTGGCTTTAACCGACCAGAAGGATGCCGCAGCGGAGGCTCCACCGCAGCTCCACCGCTCCCCCTGCTGCGCCGCGCGGGAGCGGTAAAGCCCTCGGGGTCTTTCGGTGAGACCAGCTCGACGCGTCCGGTCCCCTCCCTTCAGGAGGACGACCGACGCCCGGAGCCCGGTGCGGAGCCACGGGGCGGCCTGGCCGTGTTGAACCGTGTTCGATGCGAGTGGGCCGTTCCGTCAAGAGAGGTTCAGTGACCAGGTTTTGGCGCCCTACACGGGGTAAGTTTGGCTAAGCATGGGAGAGTCATATTTAGGGTTCCTTCAACCCTTTCTGGGACCTATCTGAGAGTGAAAGGAAGCAACGCGCCCGCTAAGCCACACGACATGGCAAGCATGAGGGGGGGGGCTCCGAGCACCAGCCTCTACAGAGGGGAAAGAAGCTTCCCCCCCTTCTTAGAGCCCGAACTCGCCTCTTATAGGCGCCTCCTTAGGTGAAGTCTTAGGTGGCAGAATGGCTGATGGGCAGCAACGCGTACTCGACTCCTGAAGAGGCCCCGCACCGGTTCCGTGGCGCCTCCAAGCTTCAGTCCTTCATCTGGACCAGCCTGATGTGAAGGATTTGGGGGGGCATGCCATGTCAATCATTAGGTAGATAGGGGTAGGTAGAGATACCAGGTGAAAGAGCTTCGATCAGCAGCATTCACCATGGTTTCATGTGAGTCATGTGTGCTAAAGATACCATCTACAAAAAAAAGGAAAGACCACGACCTGAAAGAAGAACACCAAGTTCTGTGGGTCAACCAAGCAGTTGACCTACGCAGGTCAAGCTGCGGAACAGGGTTCCAGTTCGTGACCGTGTGTGTGATCAACCTACAGAGGTATCCAGTGACCTGAACTAGGACCCGTCACCAGGAGTACCGATAGGATAGTCGAACGTTCGGGTTCTGACCCACCGAATCGCTGGAATGCTCCAGATTTGATCAACCCCTTCAGGGGCCATGGTGACCAACTGCGCCTTCCAGGATGGTGGCCATGATGTTGCCTCAACACGGCGAAGGCGCTGAGGCTTCGATCTGCGCTGTCGAAGGCGGCGCAGTCCGCGAAAAAGACGTGCCGCCTAGAATTGGGGACCTCGTTCTTGGGGAAGTGGATGCTTTGAAATGCTTTGAAGCTGGTCACACTCATCACTTTAGCCGTTGCAGGTCGTACGCATTGGAATTCAAACCATCGCACCAACCTTCCGCAGAAAGCAGCACTAAACGATGCCATCATCCAGGGCACGGCTTCTCGATCACACCAGCCTGGCATCCATCCGGTCGTTACGGAGGCGACTGGTTTCATGGGTTAACTGGTTCCAACATGCTCCAACGGCGCCACACAATCATCCCAAGACCCTACAGACTCCCTCCCAGCCAATTCTAGGAATCATGATATTCCTTCACAAGTGCCTCTTTTCATGCCTCATTGTGCCTCCCTGTTTCCACCACCTGGGCCAGGCCCAAAGACTGGATTGCTCGCTCCTCGTCCGCGCGCGCGCCTCCGTCAAGCGGCTGATGGCCGCCTGGCTCACGCTGCGGATGAACTGCTTCTCCGTCTCCTTGAACTGACCTGGCACTGCCGCCCACGCGAAGCCCTGCCCCGTTGGTGGAGTCTGGCATGGGAGACCGAGGAGCACTGCCATTGGGCCATTGAGGTGATACGAATGGAGGCCGTAAGATACTGTAACCGCAGGTGAATCCACCTGCCATCAGCGTGACATGCTGGAATCCAAGGTCGCCCGCCAGTGCTTCCAGCTGGACATGCACCTTTTTTCACCTTCCACGCTGCTCCACTTCGGCTTGCACTTTCCTTACAAGGATTTTGCCCAAAAAAACAACATCCTCTCGTGCGTGGCGCAGCGCATGCCTGAGCCTTTCCGGCTGGAGAATCATTAACTGCTCAGACGTTGGAAGCAAGTAGCAAAGATAGGTAAACATGCAAATGACTATCCTCCTGCGGTATGTGGATGACGTTTCCAGTCTTATGAGATTCCGTCTGTACACTCCAGGTGGCTCTAGTGCCGACCACGGAGTTCCTAGCAAGAGCTGAGCTGGGCCACAGGCTGCGCTGCTTGCCCATGGAAGAACAGGAGCTCTTCCGGCCGCCGTGGCGATCACAAACATCATCTCATCACTGCCCCTGTCCCGCTGAAATTGCGCTCCTGGCACAGGATTAAAGACATCTTGCATGGCAAAAGTCAAGAAAAATGGGTGCGTGGTGCTACGCTGCAACACTAGCGACCCTGGCTAGTATAAGCTGAGTTGCACTAAGAAGTGCTTCAGCTCCATTCCCTTCTTTCCAGCACCCATTCCCCTCCTCCTTTTGGTCCCACCCCCCACCGTCTTCGTCTTCTCCTCGTCCACTGTTCCACCCCGCGGACGAAGCGGGCCACCACCGGGGCGGCCTCAGTGCTTCGACAACAAGGTGCCGTAGCCCTCGATCTTCTCCTCAGCACCCGCCCTGCGCGCCTCGGTGCCACAGGGACGGCCCAAGTGAAGGCCCAAGGCTTCGTGGACACGGACGGCCACACGGAGGGTGCTGGGTGGCTCCTTCCCTCGGGAGGTTCTTGGTGGGGCTCCCGGCCGCTCCAGGGGGTCATGCGTGGCGTGGTCTGGTGGTTCGTGACAAAGGTCGAGTGTTTGGCCTTTTCGAAGGGTCCAGATAGAACGAAAGAAAGAAAGCTCTCGGCTGCAGCTGAAAAGAGACAGCAAAATTGGGGTCTGTCAGAAGTACCCGGCAGAAGTGTGGCAATCCCAAAGAAAAGGCTGTCAGCTATACATATTCCCTGACATTCTCAGTTGGTTGGAGTCTTCTGAGGTCTGTGTGTCACCCAGCCACCAGCCACCAAGCGTCCATGTGCCACAGAAACGCTTGGGTTGAGGTCACCACCGGCTTTCCCAGCCGGGCCTCCGCCGGTGACACCGCGGCGCCAACCAAACCACTGGGTCGATGGCCGTCCGGCAAAATGGTAAGCCATGTGCAGTGCAGATGGTCTTGATACTATTTAGCAAGTCTATGTATGAATTGTGTACTCGACTATTTACGGCAGTGATATTATGATGTAAATCTATCTGGCAGTTACGATTTTCAGCTTGACGTTGCCGGCAAGCCTGAGGTTCTGGAGATGCAAACTTCCGACCGGCAAAACGTGCGAAGAAGAGAGGCATCCCCAAACACGGGAAGAGGAAAAAGAATGAAAAGAGCTCTTTGTCAACGACCCTCCTATCCAAAAAACTGGGCACCACCAAAAACAAGTCAAACAAGTTTCAAGAATCGCCAGGGATTGTGTCAAAACCATCACTCCTGGAGCATCCCGCATGTCAGGCGGCAGCAAGATTGCCGCAGGCTTCGTCCATGCGTCTTCGGACTCTACACCCAAGAAACCCCTCCAACACCTAGGAAGAATCTTCCACTCACAGTCCAATGAATCGGGCATGTCACATCCAATCTGCTCCCCTACTTTCTGGTCTTTGGGTCGATACATGTCTTCTCCCCACCTCACCTGAACACCCCCCTGTCTCCCTGCCCTCCTCCAGCGGGTCCAGGAAGTCCGGCTGACATGCCCGGAAGCCGCTGCAGCCGATCACCACCACATCCGCCTCCGGCCGATCCACGCGCACCGCCCACTCGGCCTCGGGGGACGAGGGGCGGAGGTGTTGGGTTGGGTGTTGGGTGGTGCTCTCGGTCCATCGAGTTGAGAGGGGCCCATCGTCCCAAAGAAACCACCTCCAAGCTAGTCACTAGTCAGCAGAACCTAAAGGATGCTCATCCCAAAAAACACTTCTTGGCAAGTCTGTCCAGTGCCGTTTTACGGGTGCCTCTTGCTTCTTCGAACATGAAAGAACCACCCGAAAGTCCGGCAACCCTGCCGGCCCGGTGCTGGTAGCGCTCGCACGTTCAAGCCACAATCTCTGCTGGTGGTACAGCGCTGGTGAGCTCGTCACGGGGGAGGTTCATGGTCAACCTGCCACTGCGGGATCCCAAGACCCTGACCACGCGAAGATGTCACCAAACTCGCCCAAGAAACTACATAACCATGAGCCATTTCTGGAACTCATCCCCAACCTCAGCACCCTTGACACTGGTTCTTCGGAAAAGGGACTGGACAAACACCTTCCAGTTCCTCGCTCTCTCTCTCTCTCTCTCTGTCTCTCTCCTGCTCTCTTCGCTTGGCTGCCACTCGACATGCGCGCGAATAGGGGGGTCGCTCGTTCTCGGCGACCAGCTTTCGGGCGACGCGGCGCCTGTTGACCACTTGGACTTGGCCCATGGTCTCCAACATCTCAGCGTTCGCACGGCTGAGCTCCTCGATGTAGGGCGTCAGAAGAGCCACCCGCTGCGCCTGGGACACTTCGACCCCGTCGCAAACGTCGAGGGTCCGACGGTGCGACCGCACACATCGGATCGTGAGCAGTCAGGAAATCCCAAACTGTCTTCTCAATTTTGTGCATAATGTCATAGTGTCCTCCTTTTTCGTTCCTCTGCTCCAACTTCGCATCGTGCACATGTCTTCCGAAACGCCCCGAACCGGCGCCTTCAGCGCTTTCAGCGCCTCCAGCTGCGCGGTGGCCATGTCGGTGACTGGCACACCCGGATAGCCTGGAAGGACGGCGGTCACACTGGGGAGGCTGAACAGAAAGGGATGGAGTCGCTGAACTGAGCCCTTGCAGCTGCCGGAGTTGTGTCTCCCTATTGGAGGCTTCGAAACTGCCTCTGGCAGTGTTTTCTTGCGGGCAAGCTGGTTCCTGCTCTCACTCTTCAGGTATTCTGTCACAACATCCGCTTTCTCACTTCTTGAACAAACCCCCTTAACCACAACACCGTACACATGTAACAAATGTCCAGCCTGCACTGATTTGCTCGCGGACTTTGGCTGAGCCTGAAGTGGCGAAGCGGAATGTTTGCTGGTTTCCGCTCGACACTATTGCGCAAACTCTCGCGCAAGCCAAGGCCGGCACCTAACGTGAAGGAAAATGAGGTGCAGGACAAGCCGAGGATATCGCAGCTCCGCCCTCGGCTGGCCTACGCGGGTGAATTTGCACGCGCGAGTCATCCTGAAAATTGCTTCAACCGTTGGAAGCCTGAAAATTTCAAAACCGTCTATGGATGAGTCTGTATGACTTCGCCCAATCCTTCCATCCCCTTGCACCATCATCATCATCATCATCATCATCATCATCATCATCATCACGGCAGCACCCCACACACGGGGAAGCTGTTTTGGAGCGCCAAGATGCTGCTGCAAGCGCTAGGAGCTTGGCACCCTTGGTGAGCTCCTCCCTGTGCATGGCGCGCAGGTAGGTCCCTGCGCAAATGTCCTCCGAGTCGAAGGTGACCTCAACAGCAAAAGGAAGATGGATCAGAAACTCCGGGGAGCCAACGCCTACTTTTCGAGGAAAAAATGGTGGAGATTTCATTGCACCAGCATGGGTCCCTAAACCGTTTCACAGACCCCGAAACCTAAGGGAGTGATGAGTGTGGAACCCCCGCAGCCGCCAACTAGGAACAGTGCCGCATAGTATCGCTTGATGGCTGCCTAACTGGCGCTGATATCATCAACTTAGAATAGACATGAATAGACTTATAATAAACTTATATCAGGCTTACTCTTGCCTTGCCTAGGCACTGGACGTCCGACCCATCCCGGACACGAACGTCCGTTCCACAGACTGGGAATCTATTGGCCTACGCTGCGACACCTGACCCGTACCTGCAACTGCATCGCTTTTAGGGCCACTCTTAGGCTTTAGAAGAAGGAATCGCGAAAAATGACCGACCGGGAAACCTTCTTTGCCCGAACTCCCTACGAAGAAACGCTCGTCAGGTGCCTGAAAGGACCGCATGGCGGCGCTCCACCCCCCTGCTGAAGGTGCCTTCGCCATCTCAAGGTCCACACCCATTTTCTCCGCAAAGGGTGGCGCTTCATCCTGACGCCCCCCCCTTTCTCGCGCGTCGCCACGCCCGGGCGTCTTCTTCGCGCGGCACGAGGCCGGCCATGGAACGAGTTGGTGCTACCTTTCGACAGGCTTCCGTGGTCTGGCGAGTGGTGCGCAACACTTCCGCAACAGATCCGCCAAGGGGAAAACACCCTGCACAAGGCAGAAACGTGATGAAGGCATTCTCTGTCGGATAGTTCATCCCGCTTGATCAACGAGTATAGGGAAAAAAACGGAGCAGTTCCAAACAGGCGGATTTCCCGGGATGCTTTTCGCAAAACCTTGCGGAGGATAGCTGAAAACTAAAAATTCTTACATCACTCCAGCAAATCCCACGGAATGGCTTCTTAGTCCCATCCAGTGAGTGGATGCGACTCCAGCTGGCTCTTTCTCCATCAATTCTTTCATGATCTTTCATGAAAAGAAGGCGCATCTGCAGTGTCACGTCCTCCAGTGTCACGTCGCTGGGAATCTGCACGCAGCCCAAGACCCTCCGGCCAAAAAGTCCCATGAGCTTCTGCCCGGAACGTCGCTGCTGGGAACCGACGACGCTGCCGTGAGGCCGGTGGGGCGGGACCAGCGGCGCAAAGAGACCAAGGACGGTACGGGGAGCGAGGCCGGTGGAATCATAGGTCATAGAAAGTCATAGAACTTGAAGCGCCAATGGTAAAGCCCATGAAAATCCATGATCTAAAATTATGCATATGTTCTTCATTGTTCTTCTGGTACCCTGAAGCTGTATAGCCGGTGCCACCCTATCGACATTCGCCTGTCACTCGCATATCTTTAAGCCCCCTTCCCATGGCTGTCATGGCGGTTTCATGTCGGCTACAGCCCTTGGCCACACAGGTGGGACGACTCGACCAATCGTGCCTGGCTTGGCGTTGTGGAGGATGCCCTGACCCCGTGGAGGACGCTTTGTGGCATCACATGTGAACAATTGTAAAGCATCGGCCGCCGCTGATTTCCAACGTTGCCCAGAGAGCCTTGAGTAGGACGCCTGCTTGGGCACAAGAAAAAAAATATAATTTATGTTGCATAATGTTGCATATAATATATATATATATATATATCTGCCTTGCTTCCGCAAGTGGGAAGCACGTTCTTGTTTCTGCACATCTTGGTTGTTGCAGAAAGCACACTCTGATCTTTGTGTGGTGCCTCTGGCATTTACACCTCAAAACCGATTGAGATTCAGATCCACGTTCTTTCCAACAGATTCCCGAACTGTTTCACCAAAGTTCTTCCTCCAAAGCTCCGGGAGAGGAGTTCAAGCAAAAACAAGAAACAAACCGCCAAAAATAACACATCTTGCCCCAAAGCTCTGACTCAAAGCGTCACCAGCCGATCGGTCCGCCGATCCGCGATCGGCGGCGCGGTGGGCCGCCCCACCCGCAGCGTCTTCACGGCGCTCTCCGACATGACGCGGGCGTGGGTGAAGACCTGGCGCCAGGTCGACGGGTGGCTTCCAGTGGACCAGTACTTTTCTGAGATGTGGTCAACATGAGGAAGGTCGGCGGGGTCGAGGTAGAACGAACTTAAGTTGCTGATGTTTCTCCGAAAGCGCTCCACAGCGCCTCAGGGTTCCAGGAGAACTTCAGGAGGATCGATATATCGACGTGATGCTTTGCAAGAACCAGAAGTTCTCAGTTGGAGGAATCAAAGTTGTTTATAAGCCCATGCTCGACCTACAATCCTGCCACCTCGGGCTAGTACCATCTGATCATGGTGCAGCAGGTACGGCAACCTGTCTCGGTCCACTGTGCTTGGTCCCCAGGATTTGGTTCAAGAACATGCAAGAAACAGCCCAAGAAACTTGCCCAATTCCAAAAAGTAATCAACCAGTAGACCGGAGTTGGTGCTTGCTTGAGCTGATCTTGGGGCTTTTGGGTCAGTCCAGCTCAACAACAAAAAGTGCAAAGAAACAGTCCCAGCTCCACCTTAGGCCACCTGACGCTGTGAGCATCGAGGATTATATATATATATATCACACATATCACATACAGTATGAAGTCTAAGAATCCAATGCATCCGTGGGCGGCTTTTGCACAAATAAAAGCGTTATAAAGGGGCTGCAGGAGCCTACGGTGCCACGGGATAAGCATCTAGTCTTGGAGCATGAGGCCAGGTCCAGAGTGAGAAATTTGGAAAAAAGAGTCCAAACCAGGGTCCCCGAAGGGGTGTCGGGTGTCTAATAGCCCCTTAGATGTTCAGAGGTGTTCATTGACCACCCCTTCCCCGTGGGGTTGTGGAACGCACCAAAACTTGATCTGCCCAAATCTGCAACTGCTGCACGGTCTGCGCCTTGCCCACATCCGCGGTCTGCCAGAACTTCTGAGCTGCGGCCTGCGACCGGAAAATCGGGAGTCGGAGCGGCCCTCCATACTGGCAGGGGCCCTCCATGGCAGGGCTCAGCACCCTCAATGCCCTACTATGTGTTTGAGGGCCCGGATTGTGGGGTGGAAGCAAGAACGCTGAACGCTCTCTTTCACAGCCTCGTCACTACCCCTAAGTAAACTGTACAACAACAAGTATGCTTTCGGCATACTAGACGCGGGCGCCATTGCTCAAAAAATGTTTAGGTTTCCACCCGCAGCACGTGATCGTAACCCGCACCAATTCCCACCAGGTGCCCAACTAGGTCCAACTCGCATGACAATCCAGCTCTGCCTTCAGCTCTTCATTCTCAGACTTCCGATGTTTTCGAAGGCCTCGATGCTTCGTCGAAGGGGCGCGAGGTTCCGGCCGCCGTTGGGGCGAGGTTCCGCCCGGCCATGAGAGTCATCTTGAGCCCTTTCTGGATGGAAAGTTCTCTCAAAGCTTCTCCAGTTTTCAACGATCTCGACGGATGTTTTTGGGTTCCGATCCTTGTCCTGGTTCTGTTCATCCACCGTGTTCTGATCCTTTTCTGTCTTTTCCGTCCTCCCCCTTCCGGTGGAGCGCCAGGCATTGGAGGAAGGGTCGGATCTGACAGCTCAAAGTCGCCAGCGCTTCGGCCGAGGCCAAGCGCACAGTCCACGAGGGGTCCTGGACTGGATGAAGTGGAGCGAGTCGAGTGGAGGGGAGCGTCTACAACCCAAGAAAAGCTTCCGGGGTCTAGGCGGGCCTATAGGGATGCTTTTTTGTATCTAAAGGTCTTTGGTGGGGGTTGCTAAGTCCAGTCAAGTCTTCTAGATCAACAGGCACGTGTCCCGGGCCATGTAGGTCACAGGATTGACGAAACCTTTGCCGTGCGCATCATTGCCGGACGCGTCGCACATCGCTGTTTTCCGTGAAATCCAGGTGTTGAGACTCATGCGGCGCCCCGCTCCCCCATCGAAGCCTGTTCAATTAGCTCTGGGCGGAAGCAATTGGCCTTGAATTGTCGGGGATTTTTGGCCCTTTCAAAGAACGAAACTTCGCTACATCGCGAGCTAAAGCACCTAGGCCAAGCTCAACCGTAAAGGTCGTCGTCATCATCCGCAGCGGCCGCCGCGCCCCCGATGCCCACATCGTCCGGCCAGTTGATCATTACTCCACCGCCACCACCTGCACTGGAGTTCCTTGGCTTCAGCGCTGTGACAAAGAGATGCCTGAAAAGCGCTATTATTTTTTTTTTAACAAGACATGCCTGAAGCAACCAACCAATCTCAGCCTAGCTTCATGTAGATTGGGTCGAACTTCTTGCGGAACTGGTCATACTTGGCAAGATCCGATGCGGCCACTGAGCGTCTCGCGCCCGCAAACGCCTCCTCAAAGTGTTTGCGCCCGATCTCGGATCCCATGGTGGTGTCCATGGCATCGTCGTCACCTGTCAGCAGGGACAGACCTGCCTCCGAACGTCCTTAGGCCTTAAGGCACATGTGATTTTCTTCTGGTTGGCAGCAGCTACCCCCAGCTCTGCCAGGCATGAAAACAGCCCCAAACAACCCAGCTCAAGCCTGCTCGCAGCTCATCTGCTGCAATGGCATCGCGCACTGCGGCTTTGGCCGCTCGCTGACACAGCTCTGCCAAGTCAGCTCCACTAAATCCCTCGGTCTTCTGCGCAATGAAGGGCAAAGGCACGTTGGGCGCCACCGGTGACTTTTTCAAGGTTGCCTCCAAAATGCCTTGTCTAGCTGGCAAATCGGGCAAGGGAATGTAAATGAGCTGATCCAAACGCCCAGGACGAAGCAGTGCTTCATCCAAGAGTTCAGGACGATTGGTCGCACCAATGAAGAAAACGTTCTTCTTAGCACCTACGCCATCGATCTCCGTCAAGAGCTGATTCATGACACGATCACCTGCACCTCCAGCATCTCCTTGAGAAGAGCCGCGTGCCACACCTACGGAATCCAACTCATCGAAGAAGAGCACACAAGGTGCTGCGGCCCTTGCCTTGTCAAACACCTCTCGAACATTGGCCTCAGACTCTCCAAACCACATTGTCAACAGCTCAGGGCCCTTGATGCTAACGAAGTTGGCAGAACATTCGGAGGCCACAGCTTTGGCCAAGAGCGTCTTACCACATCCTGGAGGACCATAGAAAAGCACACCTCTCGATGGCTGCATGCCGAACTTCTCAAACTTCTCAGGGTGATCGATGGGATACAGGATCGTCTCCTGCAGAGATCGCTTCGTGTCCTCCAAACCTCCGATGTCGTCCCACTTGATGTTCGGCACCTCCACCACCTGGGCCGGTCCAGAGCTTGGCAGTGAACCGTTGAGAGATCCGGAGGGTGATAGCTCAATGCTAGGTCAATGCACCTACCAGAGCCCAACCCACCAGGGTGTGCGAAGCCTTCTCACCCGCCAACGGGAAGAAGTCCCAAACCAGCCCAAACCGGGGTGCGACACCTGCACCCCTCCCTTCACCGCCCTTGCGACACGGACGCCCCTCCCATCTCCTCTAAGGCACGGTCTCGCGCAGGGAGGACGGGTTCACCGTGCCCATGGCCGACTTGAAATGCTCCTGGCGACCCGACCACGGGCGTCAACGTAGGCTGCCCAAGTGGAAGAGCATCCCAGAAACAGCGCTGTGTCGGTTCAGGTTCAGTTCGTCTTGCGGTTCAGGATCACCAGAAACCACGACGTCCCCCCCAAGACCCCCCCGAACCATGCAGCGGCGCATAGAAAAAGTGGCACCCGCCCTGCACCCTGCACTCCGGAGGTGAAGTGAATTCCGGTCCTGGGAAACGGCCATGGAATCCAGGATCTCGGCATCGATGGTCTCTTCCTCCAAGTCGATCAAGTCCATCTTCTCACCTCAAAGTCTGGCTCCATCTAGGACCACCAAGCTGACAGAAAAACGGCGCACTCTCCTCACACTTATCACTTAGCAGATGTTGATCTTCTATGGTGACATCATGTGAAAGTTGACTCTAGGCCCTAGAAACTCATTAAATCAGGAAATCTGAATTGAGTCACATTTCCCCAGCCATTCCCCACATTCGCCTCCCCCCCCCCCCCGTTCCGGCTGTCGAACCAAGCCACGGATGCAGGTCAAGGCCGCCTCGGTGCAGAGCTGCGCCAGATCCGCACCCACGAAGCCGTGCGTGTTGGAGGCCACCTCCTCAGCCAAAACGCAAGAGCACGTGACAAATGCGGCATCCAGTTGGGACGGTCGGCGGTTGGGTGCGCCGACCCAGCCGCTGTGGTGGTGATTGAGCGACCACAACATCTCTGGCTGTCGGGTATCTTTTTTGGGGGGAGGTAAAGAGTCACAGCAGTCCCGTCCTCGAGCTTAACATCAGTGGCCAACTTCATGTTCTTGCAGTGGATGCGCAAAATCTCCAACCTGCGGGTGCAGTTGCTCGGACCAAATGCCACGCTTGAGCTGGCCACATCTGAAAAGCCCTTCAAAGCCATTCCCCCCAAGAAAAACCGAAAACACCTTCTTCATCCACCCCGGGCCCACCCCACCTGCCGTTGTCGTCCGGCACGCCAATGTCCAGCTCTCGGTCAAAGCGCCCGAAGCGGCGCAGCGCTGCATCAATGGTGTTCGGGCGGTTCGTGGCCGCGATGACCACCACCTGCAGCTCGGCCCACTTCGGGGAGCGGCAACTGCGCCAGCGGTTCGGATGAGAGGTGGTACTCCACCGGGGGGGGAGTTCGTCAGACGAGTCACGTGAGATGGGGGGTCAAATATGAAATGCTGATCAAACAGGCTGTGGATCTCCAGCGGGTTCTCCCTCCCTCACCCCCTCTCGCCCTCTCTCTCTCCTGGCAGCTTTTCACCTTCACATCCTTGGACTGCTTTGCCAAACGCCACCGCCCTTGGCCTGGCCACGGCCCTTGATACCATCCATCAAGGTCAAGAGCTGCGACACCACGCGCTTCTCCTCGGAGCCCGGAGAAGGAGTCATCTAGCACCAAACAGATGGAAAACCCGGAACAAACAAAGGACAAAGCCCACAGACCTCGTTCCACCCCCATTCGACTCTCCGACTTCCACCGGCAGTTTTCAAGCCACAAGCCTCTCCTCAGTCCTCTCCACCCTTCACAGTGCCTTACTAGTAATTACAAGTCTAATTAAATTCTTATTGTTACTACTAGTAAGGCACTTGTTTCTAATAGCTTCTTGTTACTACTAGTAAGGCACTTGTTCCTTGTAGCGATGCACTTGTTACTACTAGCTTCTTGTTACTACCGGGTCTCCGGACCCTTCCCTTCGCCCAGCTGCCACTTCTCCGCTGGTCTTGTCGCGCTTCGGCGCAATCGAGTCGATCTCATCGATGAAGATGATGGCCGGGGAGTTCTTCCTCGACGGTGCGAGCGGAGGTCTGCGATCCGCAGGTCCGTTTGAGATGGAGGGTTTGAAGTCCCTACCCGGCAGGGTGGAAGGGGATCATGGAAAAAAAAACACCCCGGATCACGCGTGGGCCTCCAAACATACATGATGGCGATCTGGTGATCCGATCACAAGGGGCGCAGGTCGTAAATGGATCACTGGCCCAACCCTGGGTTTCAACTTCCCTCCCTTTCCTCCTGTCACCGCCCTGGACGGCATGAAACCTCCCGATCCAGGGCTCTCCGCTTCCTCGAAGGCCTTCCGCAGGTTGCTCTCGGCCTCGCCCGCCATCTTCGACATGATCTCTGGACCGTTGATCAGGAAGAAGAAGGCGCCTGTGCCGATGTGCCGTGATGGACGACCGATGGAAACAGGAGACGCGCACAGGATCGACTCAACTTGAGGCCAGAGGGGGTGAACGAAAGCTAGCCGGGCTTCCGGTGGTCTGCTGCTGGTGCTGCTGCTGGTGCTGCGCTGGGCGCTCCTGCGCTGGGTGCTCTGCAGGCGCCGGGTCGTCTGCTGCTGCTGCTGCTGCTGGCGCTGGGTGGTCTGCTGCGGCTGCTGCTGCCGCGGCGTTGGGTATGCTGCTGCTGCTGCTGCCGCTGCTGCGCTGGGCGCTGCAGATGCTTGGTGTGCTGCAGCTGCTTGGTGGTCCCGCTCACCGCGCGCAGGGGGGAGTCGAACCGCGGGGGGGGGGGGGGGGCCCCATAAGATTGATTTAATCAATTATTTGAGGTTTCTGAGGTGCGTCCACCCCGTCACTTAACTTGCTAAAGCAAGAGCAACTCCAGCTAGCTAAGGCTAGCTTTCGTGAAGAGATCTGGGAGGTCACAAATCCCGGTTTTGAGGGACCGGGAAAGGGCTGATTGGAGCATCTGGGTGGTGGGAACATCCAGAAATCGAGTTGGCCCGCACCTGTCTCGTTCGCAATGGCCCGTGCGATCAACGTCTTGCCACTGCCTGTCAGGTGCACAGCACAAGCCTCGCAAGCCCTCCACTCGACCAATGTGACCACATGAATGTGTAACGGTCGATGGAGTGTTTGTTTGCTTGCAACTGCGCCGTGGAATCATACATCCCAGACGCTCCAAATAGTCCTTGGTCCCTCGAAACCATTGAGATTTGACTGTCCGGACCCCTCCATATGAGGCCCCTACTTAGCAGGGTCCATGAGCGTCTGGGACACTCCAAAACGTGGGTCGAAGGGAGAATAAACGTTGCTGGTCCTAAGCCTGCAGACGCTGCAGGTACAAAGAGATTGTATAATATGTGGACATGGGAATGGCACGTGCTATAGCATCTGACGCGGTGTGGAAACTGAAAGCCTGTCAGAACTCACAAATTACCCCTACCGGTCGTGCAAACACAGTACTCAATGAGGTCTTTCGGACTATATAGGTTTAACTTGGTCCTTGGTCCTTGGACTGTTAGGCTTCATGAAATTATATGCCGTATACCGTATGCATGTGACTGACCAGGTTGGAGTCTATACCTCTTTGGGTCTCTCATGGCCTAAAAAGAACGCATCTCGTGATGGCATCGACAGCCCTGCCTGGTGGTCCATAGAGCAACACGCCACGTGGTGGCTTCACGCCCAAAGTCTTGAACCTCAAGAAGTGTTAGCTGCGAAGGCCGAAGTGACCACATGTGGAACGTTGGTGTACTTACAAACTTATAGACCAGGACCTGAACAGTACGTGACCCTTTGATATCCCAGGATGAGGTCACTTAGGTCTGTACAAGGTCACTTAGAGACTCCAAAGAGGTCACTTTGAAGGTCATGGGAAGTGTTCTTTGAGGTGTTTCTCGGCCTCTTAGACCGCCAAGACCGACACCTCCCGCAACGCCAAAGACCGACATCCACGCGACTGGCCCGATGTGCCCCCTCACCAAGCAGCAAGGTGGGATGCCGCAAGGGCAGCTCGATCATCTCGCGGATCTGTCCCATGGCCTTCCTCGGGGGGGCGTCTCTTCAGAACATGGTCGGGCGGTGTGTCTCGACCGGTCCGACTGGAGAAGTGAACCACCTTCCACAGGAGCCTTACTCACTCGGGGTGCTTTGGAAAAATTGACCCCGCCCCGTGTCTTTTGTTAGGGCTTTGGGAAGGATCAAGAGGTCACCCATGAAGGGTCACGCCTGGGTCGGGTCTTTCTTCCACTCCGAGAACGCTTGCGCTTGGGCTGTTGGAAAACATGAACGTCTGTCACCTGGCGTCTGGTGTCACCTGGCTCAGTCTGACGAGAAGACCGTGCAACGCGCGCACCCAAAAACCACCGGTCACCACAAAGCAGCATAGAAAAACCCTGGCCATGGCCACACGCAGACCATAACTCCTTCTCAGTCCCACTCCCATCCTGCTTCCTCCAGGAAGGACAAAAAGGAACCTTCCTCTCTCTCCCCTTTTCCCCCTTCTTTGTACCCCAAAAAACGGGAAGCTCAGCGTCTTGCATCCGCCGATGTCGTCGTAGCCCACGTCGTCCAGGCGCTCCTCATCCTCGCGCTTCACCGGTTCGCCCTCGCAGTGGATCACCGTGTCCGGCGCCACGATCACGAACTCCCCGGGGTCCACGCCCACCACCTGACCGACTGGGCGACTTTGCTTCGAAGGGGCGGCCAGTAGAAGGCTCTCCCAGCTGCGACGGGCTCAAGGTCTGAAATTCTTCCAGAATTCACAAAGGGGTGGTGTTTAGTCCCCAAGCGAGTGGATAATGGGGACCCCTATCCTCCAAGTTCAGCACCCCGTCTTGTGACTCCAGGTTGGCTCTTGACTCATGGTACTCCATGGTGGTGCGTTCATGACTCCCATGTTCTTTTTCGTGCCAAAGGTGTGCTAACTAACCGGCACTAACTCAAAGTTCTATGAAAGAATCTGTCACACCCGTAGGCACCCCTAAAGGCCAGCATCACTCAGTACAGCTTGCGCAGCAAGTATTGATGGGGTAAAAGAATTAATCAAAAAATGAGTTTCGGGCTCTGTGACACAAACATGCAGCACTGCTTCCTCCGCATGCGGCACAAACATCCAGACTCCCGCCTTGAACTCCACTGGCCGAAACCCGCCGCGCACCAGGAACAAATCTCCCTGGCGTGCCGGGCGGTAGGCTTCCAGGTAGTAGGGCTTCAGGTAGGTGTCCTCGCGGCGAAAAAGGAAGACCAAAGAGAAGAGATCCCACCTGTTCTGGCAGGACACACCGGAATGTCTCGGGGTGGGTTGCTACCTGAGTTCAAGACTTTCTGTGCCTTTTTGCACTCAACTAGAGAGTCAAAAGCTGCCCTGCAAGCCCTGCAAGCCATGCAATGTGGATGAAAATCTGCCATCTGATCTGTCTGCTTGATGAGAAGTTCTTGTTGGTGACGGATCTTGTTTAGTGCGGTCCACTGACCATAGATACGACTAAACGATGCAGCCAGTCCCACCTATCCACACAGCAGGTGCTTCTGGTAGGGCGTCGAACATGTACTAGACTATGCAACCAGATCCACATCAACAATTGCACTCGAGGCTCAGCTTGCACCCGACCATTTCCCACAAAGGTGCCCCAAACGACCCTCCATAACCACCAAGTGGACCAAGCGTCGAAGAGGTTCCCGGTGATGCCCTCGATGGTGTCGTCCAGCGGCAGCACGTGGATGCGCTTCCCGTAGGGCACGTCCCCACAGGCGTGCACGGACACGATGTCGCCCAGGCGCACGCGCAGGTTCTTTCGCACCACCTTGATGACGATGACGGGAGGCATGAAACGAGAATCACCGCGGAAGCACGGACGGCGAATTCCAAACATGAACGGCATGTATCGGCATATATATACATCAACAACACATAAGTCCAATCTTCCATCCCCCTCACTTGGGGTATACACGCATGGTCTCTCAGGCACTTTGTTCATGCGGATCTTGCTGTCATCCAAGTTCTCGTCGGCCAGGACAATGCAAACCGTGTCCTGGTCAAGAAGTCCCTACCGCCATAGCGATGCTTATATAACATGTTAAAACCCACCGCATCCCGAACCCAAAAATGCATAGAATCACATAAATCACGTAAATAAGGCCCAAGTCTGCACTCTGCTTCCTTCGCTTCCCGTTTCTTTCTTTTGAGAACTTTCATGTGCTCCTTTGTCTTGGGATGCATGCTGCGACCAATCGCTGCGACCATCGCTGTAAGACAAAGGCTTTTTACCCGCCACTCGTCGTGCTTTCGACCCGCGACTCGTCCCACGGATTGTAGGGGTCCCACCCCCGGTCCTTGCGCTTCTTTCCCTTGATGAGAACATTGTCTCCGCGAAAGAGATTCAGCTCCTCACATCCAGCACGATCACGCACCGCACGCGAGCCGCGAGCCGCGAGCCGGCGTTAGTCAGAAGCTGCTGGTTTGGCGTGTGCGGTGCTTGGACACACGGGTGTGATCAAATCAGGTGAGAGAAGTTGGATGCTTCTTGGTGTGTCATGTGTCCATCCGGCACACCGCAAGCGACCAAACACGTCGCATTTGGCAGCCCCTTTTGGCCAACAGCCCTTCGACCACCCGTCCTGACCATGTCTACCCTTGCTCGCTCGCTGGTCCACTAGAACTAGCTCCTCTTGCTTTGGTCCGCTTAAGCACTGCACCCTGACCACCCAATCCTTTCACACAGGTCACCACGAAATCGTCGAAGGGAAAAGGAACGACTTGTCTTCGTCCCGCCTCCATCTTCGCCTGGGAGAGCGAGATCACGGAGTTGTCATCGTTCATGGCTTCTTCCACCACTAATCGGTTCCTCGACTGTCGACCGAGGAACCGCGTTCATACGCCACGTCCGTGCCACGCGTCCGCGAGGTTCTGGGTTCTGGTTACGGGGCGTCTTGAAGTCTTGGGCGATGTTGGAAGTGGTTTTTGCTAGCAAGGTTCGCTACGAACGAAACCAATGGCCGTGTGAGACTTTGACACGGAATTGACCCAAAGCTGGGAGCCATGGCGCCCGTGGGACCTTCGGGGCTCCTCCAAAGCTTGTTGGCCAACGAGTCCCGTGGGACCTTCGCGGCGCCCGTCCTCCAGCCGGAATCCCACCACGGACGCCGGGGTGCGGGGAGCGTTTCTTCTGTGGCTTCGCATCGGGCACGGCTGGCGGAGCACTTGGAGCTTCATTCGCTTCAGCCATGGCCTAGGCGCTCGACGCGCACGCTCGACGCGCGGGCACTTGCGCGGGCGCGGGCGTAACACTCACGCGGGCACATGCTGCTATCACAGCACGAGGGCCAGAGAGTGTGGAAGTGAAACAAGGCCCTCATCATGCGAAACACCGGCTGGTGATGTAGAAAACTTCATCGAGCATGTACCATCTTCCGGCTTTGGCTCTAAAAACCAGTTGGTCTAATGTCAGCGGAAGACTCAATTCTACTGACGTCACAAAAGAGATCTATCTGATTCCAGAGAGCGACAAATCATCGTGGCTGTGTACATGCTTTCGGGTGCAAAATGCAGGGAGTGCAAAATGCAGGCCGCCAAAATCGATACTTTCGTTGTTAGCCTTTTTGAACTACAAGTGCTTGCCTTTGCTGATGATAGAATCCTAGAAGCTCTCCCTTGTCAAGTCCTTCTGATCCAACTTGAACCATTCAGCCACACACTCCAGCTTGCCACTCCACTCGTCGGGGTGCAGCGACAAGGCGAACAAAAGCCACTGGAAGAGAACCGGTCGAATTGCTGTGAGCCAAATGCGCCATCATCCAGCGTCTTCTTCCACAAAATCCCTAGGTTGGACTCTGAACATGCCGAAAACAACGCAACCATTTCTCATCAAAGGCAACCCATCGTGGCTTAAACCCTAGTTACCTAGTTCAGACCTCAGTGCCCACAGCCACGCCTCTTTTTGATCTCAACCTTTGGTTGGTCCGCTTTCGTCTGAGAACATAACACTCCGTCATTCCATCTTTCCGGCTCAACCGTAAAGGTCGTCGTCATCATCCGCAGCAGCCGCCGCGCCCCCGATGCCCACATCGTCCGGCCAATTGATCATCACTCCACCGCCACCACCTGCACTGGAGTTCCTGGGTGGCCGTGATTACACGAAATCAAGCGCTCTGAAAAAAAAGACATGCTGCTCTCAAAAGGATTAATTATTGCAGAACGTCCCTTGAACCCAACTAGCTCACTCAGCCTAGCTTCATGTAGATTGGGTCGAACTTCTTGCGGAACTGGTCATACTTGGCAAGATCCGATGCGGCCACTGAGCGTCTCGCGCCCGCAAACGCCTCCTCAAAGTGTTTGCGCCCGATCTCGGATCCCATGGTGGTGTCCATGGCATCGTCGTCACCTGTCAGCAGGGACAGACCTGCCTCCGAACGTCCTTAGGCCTTAAGGCACATGTGATTTTCTTCTGGTTGGCAGCAGCTACCCCTACAGTAGCTCTGCCAGGCATGAAAACAGCCTCAAACAACCCAGCTCAAGCCTGCTCGCAGCTCATCTGCTGCAATGGCATCGCGCACTGCGGCTTTGGCCGCTCGCTGACACAGCTCTGCCAAGTCAGCTCCACTAAATCCCTCGGTCTTCTGCGCAATGAAGGGCAAAGGCACGTTGGGCGCCACCGGTGACTTTTTCAAGGTTGCCTCCAAAATGCCTTGTCTAGCTGGCAAATCGGGCAAGGGAATGTAAATGAGCTGATCCAAACGCCCAGGACGAAGCAGTGCTTCATCCAAGAGTTCAGGACGATTGGTCGCACCAATGAAGAAAACGTTCTTCTTGGCACCTACGCCATCGATCTCCGTCAAGAGCTGATTCATGACACGATCACCTGCACCTCCAGCATCTCCTTGAGAAGAGCCTCGTGCCACACCTACGGAATCCAACTCATCGAAGAAGAGCACACAAGGTGCTGCGGCCCTTGCCTTGTCAAACACCTCTCGAACATTGGCCTCAGACTCTCCAAACCACATTGTCAACAGCTCAGGGCCCTTGATGCTAACGAAGTTGGCAGAACATTCGGAGGCCACAGCTTTGGCCAAGAGCGTCTTACCACATCCTGGAGGACCATAGAAAAGCACACCCCTCGATGGCTGCATGCCGAACTTCTCAAACTTTTCAGGGTGATCGATGGGATACAGGATCGTCTCCTGCAGAGATCGCTTCGTGTCCTCCAAACCTCCGATGTCGTCCCACTTGATGTTCGGCACCTCCACCACCTGGGCCGGTCCAACACAGGGTGATAGCTCAATGCTACACTCCCTCTGCAATGGATATCATGGCCGGGATGACCATGAAATCCTCTACCAACAGGTGGCCACTCCACGTAAGCATGATGACTTCAGGGAGTCGGATTGGTCGTGGAAACTGATTGGCACGGCGTAAGGGGGTCCAGCCAGGACACCCAGACAGGATGGTCCGATGGCCCTATGGTCCATACATGGCCCCTATGGTCAGTGGAAACACTATATACTTCCCTTACAATCTTGAGGTGTTCCACTTCCATGTGTATCAGCAGGAGTGCATGCTTGATGTTGGGGTGTGGATGCTTTCCCTCACGGCTTGGTGAGCCCCCCCATCCTTCCCGACCCGCCGCACCGTCTCGCGAAGTGAGGAGGGGTTCACCGTGCCCATGGCGGACTTGAAGTGCTCCTGCGACGGCGCGACGGCACACCGAAGCCGGACCGGCCCTACAGTGTCGACCGATAGCATCGGTAGGGGGCAAAACTGGCATCGCGACGAACGGAGCGATCGGACGCGACGAATTTGGGCGAACCTGGCCTTACTGCTCGGAACAAGAAGCTACTAGGAGCAAAGGGCATATTAGTAGCTGTACGTCATGCCCAACAAAGCAGCGAGGTGGGTCCCTACCCCCCCAGCGCCTGGGAAACAGCCATGGAATCCAAGATCTCGGCATCGATGGTCTCTTCCTCCAAGTCGATCAAGTCCATCTTCTCACCTCAAAGTCTGGCGGCACCTCTGGCAAACACAGGCCAATTGAGGTCGAACCCAAGCCACACCGCAGGAAAAGGACACTCTAGATCTGAGTCCTCAGCTTTTGGACCCCCAAAGCCCCATCAAGCTTCAACAGCTCAAACCGCTACCAGCCATCACTCTCCTGGCCCTGCACTCGATCCGAGCCGCGGATGCAGGTCAAGGCCGCCTCGGTGCAGAGCTGCGCCAGATCCGCACCCACGAAGCCGTGCGTGTTGGAGGCCACCTCCTCAGCCAAGTGCCGCAAGAGCACGTGACAAACGCGGCATCATGCGGCATCCAGTTGGGACAGTCGGCGGTTGGGTGTGCAACCCCCAGCCGCTGTGGTGGTGACTGAGCGACCACAACATCTCTGGCGGTCGGGTGTCTTTTTTGGGGGGAGGTAAAGAGTCACAGCAGTCCCGTCCTCGAGCTTAACATCAGTGGCCAACTTCATGTTCTTGCAGTGGATGCGCAGGATCTCCAACCTCTCAGGCTATGTGGTCACATAGTGATATGCTTGAGCTGCCCACATCCACAACTTGAGCAAACAGTTCTCAAACTCAAAACTGTGCCCCCTTAACCCACCCCAAAGCCATTCCCCAGAGCAAATGACTGAGAGTCTGACAGCAGAAGACGCAAAGGTGTTCGAGACCTTTTGGCTGCTGTAACTCCTTTGGGCTCGGATGAAATGCGGAAGTGGTTGATACTTCCCCACTGGCAGAGGGCCTTCGAACGCACAAATGCGGGGCTGGCGGAGCATGGGCCTGCCTGGGCCAGTCCGGGAGGATGCCACGAAGCCCGCTGCACCCGGAGCAGCTGCAGGGTGGATCGAAGGTGCAGCTTGGGGCTTTTGGAGCGAGGTGATCTACCTCGCTCCAAGACCGATCAGTCAAACCCGACGCGGCATAACCCGTTCCAAGGTGGCTGACGACCAACGCGGTGAAAAACGAGCCAGAAAGGTCTGGCGGGAGCTCAGGAAATCCTCCCGCGGTTCAGGTTTGAGGATGACAGACCGATCCAGCGAGTCTGGCGGACGACCTCCTCGGCTTGAGACGACTGACATCAACTTGTGCCATGGACCCACACCGTCACAACGGCGTGGGTCGTGCAGCTTGCGCTAGATCGGTGGAGCAAACAGCGAATGTATCTGACCACGGTGAGACGATGCAAACGGTCTGTGGTCTGATCCATCGCAGGTCCGTTTCACCACGATCTGAAACAGGTGGAATTCAGGTGCTTTCAAACGGCGGACCAGTTTAGAAGCAGAGAGACCGAGAGCGCAGGGCGCTGTGGCACACGGTCAGCTAGCCACTTGCCCCAAGGCAGAACAAAGGAAAAACCCGAGGTGAGCCAATCTCAATGGATGACCACGGGTGGCCAAACGCTCCAGGAAGGGTGCTGGTAGCCTTAGATGGTGCAGTGCCTACTGAGTCTACTGAGTAGTGCATCACGGGCTACATCCTGCTGAACATGTACCTGGCGAGGCCATGGAGCGCGGGGGCGGCTGGCGGCCACAAGCAGGCGGCCACAGAGCGCCGAGACGTCTGCTTTGACGCCGCACGGGTGTTCCCACTGTGCAGTGCAAGATCTTGCAGTCTAGAAAACCCCACACGTTCTTCATCCACCCCGGGCCCACCCCACCTGCCGTTATCATCCGGCACGCCAATGTCCAGCTCTCGGTCAAAGCGCCCGAAGCGCCGCAGCGCGGCATCGATGGTGTTCGGGCGGTTCGTGGCCGCGATGACCACCACCTGCCAGCGCAGAGCTGTTTGCGCAACGCGCAGCGCGCAAACAAGGAGGCCTGCCTCTCCCAACCGATTCCGACCAAACACTGCCGAAGATGAGGTGGTCTTTGTTGGGGTCCCATGAACTGTCGATGGGTGGGGAACACTCCCACAGGGCCTTACACAGCCCACGTCGGTGGACGGCCCGGTCAGCTCGGGCCTGACCACGTCCTTTGATGCCGTCCATCAGGGTCAACAGCTGGGACACCACGCGCTTCTCCTGGGGCGGAAGCCCCGTGAAGAAGCGAGCTATCCGGTTGTCTCTGCGGTTCCGGGACAGCCACTTGGAACCCTAGGACGACCCAGGTACATGCCATATGCACATGTCTTCCCACATATATGTTGTAAGTACTTGTCCGTGACTAGATATGTGGCCCGAGGACGACCCTCGCCACACATGGAGTGTCTGGGTGAGGAAGGAAAGAAACCGTTGCTCCGCTCTCGTCACGCGACAGCTGAGGGGATGTTGCACTGGGAGTTCCAACACAAAGATTGAACTTAAAACTCAGGTTCTAAAGGGTGCCCTTCTAAAGCCACAACACAACACCGTTCGGAAAGTACTATACATAGTCATCAACCAGCAAAGGATTGTCTCGTGGTCCACTCTCTTTTCCAATTCTGTGTCCTATCACTGCATCATGGCCGAAGCCATCACAGCATCATGGCTGAAGTATGCAAGCCGCCCACTCAAGTCTAGCAAGCCGCCCCGTGAAGATTGGAAGGGACGAGCTGTCGTTTTTCGGAAGGACTCCTCTCAACCCACGTCTCCACGTGACACCCTTCACATGGGATCTTCCAAACCAAGCCCAGCCGCCACTTCTCCACTGGTCTTGTCGCGCTTCGGCGCAATCGAGTCGATCTCATCGATGAAGATGATGGCCGGGGAGTTCTTCCTTGGAAGGGGATGCGGGGGCCATGCTGGGGTTGCTCGGGCACCACCCCAGGCGGCTCGGGCTTCGCTGGCGAATCCCTCCGAGATCGGTGTGACTCCGATGGATTCATGGATTCCCCTCGAACACCCCCTCCTCCGAGGAACATGTCCGCCCACGGGGGCCACTGCGGACGTCCTCGCAGTTTCCTCGAAAAACCAGGGCTCTCCGCTTCCTCGAAGGCCTTCCGCAGGTTGCTCTCGGCCTCGCCCGCCATCTTCGACATGATCTCTGGACCGTTGATCAGGAAGAAGAAGGCGCCTTTCAGGGCCCCAAAAACGTGTGAATTCTGCAGGGGTCACAAGATGGGGTGGTTTTTAGTCCCCAAGTAAGAGGAGTAGCTGGGGACCCCTATCCTCCAATGAGCACCCCTTTGTGACTCCTGGCCCGTATTTTGTTGTTGGAATTCTTCGTGCGTTCATTCCCATCGGCACGAATCTCCATCAAACCTGATGAATCTACGTAAGGACTTAAGTCCCCAGCTGAAAACCCACGCAGTGCAACGAGATCTTTCAAGTGCGTCCTTGGATTTCATGAAGTCACAAACCCCTAGACTTCCAAGATGATTAAAAATTGGTTGACCTGGGTTTTTTTAGTGTAAAATCCTTAGTTGATTCAGTAAAGCCTATTAAGTTAATTAATGGTGAGCCAGGAGGCCTAGGGAACAGTTGGTCCCACACTTGGATCCATCCCTCCAACGCTTTGCGCCTGTTTCGTTGGCAATCGCTCGGGCGATCAACGTCTTGCCACTGCCTGCCCGCCGGTTTTTGGGTGAACTTCCAGGTTGGTCCAGCCATACCTCCAACTCGGTTCACTCGGATTGGATGCATCAGGGGGGAACCCACCCAGCCAGAGCTTTGTCCCGCACCTGGCGGCCCATAGAGCAGCACGCCACGAGGAGGTTTCACACCCAAAGTCTTGAACCTTAGAACGTCAAACAACAGTTGAAGGACGGAAGTCACCCATCTGTGAGCGTTTGTGTGCGTTTCTTCCTTGGAACATCTTGGAACCCTGGAGTCGAAAGGAGCGGCCTTTTCTGCATGTTCTCGACGGTGTCCGCCACGGCTGAACCGCTACGCGCAGTAAGACTTCATCCTTTTCAACGGTTCCCCTATTTGAGAGCTGCCCTGTTCGACATGCTCCCAATCGCGGGCGATTCTGGTGTGTGAACATGGTGAGGGCGCATTCACAAAACTGACGCCAGTTCAACAGAGCAGGACACAAGGGATGATCGACTCAAACCCACACTTGCCTTGGTGAGCGCGTTGCCCTGTTCGTCTGCATGCGATCTTCGCCCCAGTAGGATGTGCATATTCCAGCATACTTGAAAGAATGGGCGTTGTGACGTTCGCTCGTGCCACTGCTTGTTGACGTGTTTGTTGTCGCCCTGAGGTGTCGTCGTCCTGTGATGTGCGTGGTAGCGTAGGTCGGGTGGGGTGGTGTTGACCCGCTAAACAAGACCGAGCGAGAGAGAAGAAAATGAAAAAGAAACAACAGAGAGTACTGCCAGTACTGCAGCCTTTCAAAAGTTGAATAGATGCTTCCTCTGCTTTCGACTTGTTGACAGCTTTGATTCATACAGTCGTTGCGAGTTGGCCACCGGTAACATCGAAACTCACCGCACAAGAGCAAGGTAGCAAGGTGGGGTGTCGCAGGGGCAGCTCGATCATCTCCCGGATCTGCCCCATCGCCTTCCTCGCATCGGCGTGAAGACGGTGCCGTGACGGGGCTCCGTTGCACCCACCGGAGGTCTAACACCTGCTCTCGGGGGGTGAAAACATAACCTGAAGCACAACCCATGACCTGAACACCATGGTCCCATGCCATCGCAGGAGGCACTGGCCCTGTGAAGACCATTGGGACCCACCCGACGGTCTCCGGGGCTCAGCGGACGGACCCGGTTCCGCGGATGGACGCGACATCGCAGGAGCAAACTCTCGTGCAAGAACAGGTTCCCACCTCCACCCTGACCCTGCCCCCTACCTCACGCAACACCATAACTCCCACTCCCATCCTGCCTCCTCCAGAGGGAAGAAAAAAGGACTTCCCTCTCTCCCCTTTTCCCCCTTCTTTGTACCCCAAAAAACGGCAGCTCAGCGTCTTGCATCCGCCGATGTCGTCGTAGCCCACGTCGTCCAGGCGCTCCTCATCCTCGCGCTTCACCGGTTCGCCCTCGCAGTGGATCACCGTGTCCGGCGCCACGATCACGAACTCCCCGGGGTCCACGCCCACCACCTGACCGACTGGGCTTCGAAAGAGGTGTCACAGCTGGAGACAGAGCTGGAGACCTGCCAAGCTTGCATAAGCCCAGCCTTCGGTCAATTGGGCGATTCTGCATTTGTCTGCAGTCTAAGAAGCACATGGGGTCAGAGACCAAAATATTATGTGGAGATGTGAGTCCAAGCGCTTATCATAGACCTCGCCACTGGCAAACCGGTCATGGTAGGGATATATACGGCTACATTACTGTAGTAGTGTTGTGATGGGGCTACGCGGCTGCGACGCCTTTTGATCCACCCAACGCAGGACCAAACGCGCCCCACAAACATCCAGACTCCCGCCTTGAACTCCACTGGCCGAAACCCCCCGCGCACCAGGAACAAATCTCCCTGGCGTGCCGGGCGGTAGGCTTCCAGGTAGTAGGGCTTCAGGTAGGTGTCCTCGGGCGGCGACCAAAAAAAAGAAGGTGCTGCGTTTGCTCCCGCTCCCTGGCTCAGCCCTTGGTCGAAGGCCTGCTCGGACCGAGCGCTCCGGTGCACCCCGCAGGGCCGAAGAGGTGACCGAAGCACCCCCAGCCACAGCATCCGAGCGTCGAAGAGGTTCCCGGTGATGCCCTCGATGGTGTCGTCCAGCGGCAGCACGTGGATGCGCTTCCCGTAGGGCACGTCCCCACAGGCGTGCACGGACACGATGTCGCACAGGCGCACGCGCAGGTTCTTTCGCACCACCTCGGTGCATGGAAACAAGGCCGGTTTTTGCTCAGCCGGTGTTGCTCACATCATCGATGGGTTTCTGTTGGTTCCGATGTGGCCTGGGCTTTGCAAGAAAAACCAGCTCGTGTCGATTCAACAAACCTTGTCCAAGTCAAACTGCCACTGTAGGAATCGGTGTCTGCAAGTTAGGAGTCCTCAAATGAGGGGCAAGATCGAGGCACGTTCACCCACAACAGCTGTGATCAACGCAGACCGTGCCCCGCTCATTCGCACATCCTCTTCGGTCTGTGGAGATCTGAGCATGAAAAGATTCCCCGTGAGGCATCTCCACGAGGCTTAACCGCCTAACATCTTGACCCTGTCGGCCCAGAAACCGATCAAAGGGCCAGTGCTATACCTGTGTGTGTTTGGTGCAAGTAGTTTCAACACCCCATACATGAGGGTCAGTGCTCCGGAGGGGGTCGCTGTTTCTCAAGTACACCAAAGGGGCTCCGGACATCAATAGAGCTCGCCTAGCAAGAATGCAAACGTCCGGCATTTCATCCACGCATCATGGTCTCTCAGGCACCTTGTTCATGCGGATCTTGCTGTCATCCAAGTTCTCATCTGCCAGGACGATGCAAACAGTGTCCTGCACAGCAGGAGCGGATCGCACGTTTCAAGCGAGCGATCGGCACCCCCAGCCATCTCCACGTGGAGCTCGCGTCGTGGTGCCCCAACAAACATCGAGTGGATCAAGTGCATTGCACCCCACATTGATGATGTGTTTCCTGGAGTTGCTCCATGCTCACACTCATTTGGTGCCAATCTCCTTCCGCTTCTTGCCCTTGATCAGCACGTTGTCTCCACGGAACAAATTCAGCTCCTCGCAGCAAGGCACAAGTATCCGTGGTGGGTTTAGTGGGTTTAGCTGCCGGCTGCTACCTAAAACAGTCTAGCTGTAGGACTGCTGATTCAACCAAATGGTGCACATCACATTCAATTCATGTGAACAACGAGCAAGAAGAATTTCAACAAACGGCTCTTGATCAACAAGGTGTCCGCCAAGCCTGAACTGTCCCAAACACATGGAAACCAGTCAAACGCACCGAATTTAATATGTTTAAATAAGTTTCAATGGTTTTAAGACAACTGTAATACTATATTTTGGATTTATAAATGTTAAATCAGTTGAATTTGCATCAAAATGTTCAAATGACATTCCTCGATATTTATATATCATATTAAATATTGGCTGTTGTCTTTTTACGATTAGTTTTATAAATGCACGAAAACGTGGTCGACAAGATGCAGGTGATCGTCCACCTTCAAAAAATTCAAACAGTTAAGTAGTGTGCATTTGCGTTCTCAAAAAGCACTCTAACCTGATTTTTCTGTTACAAATAATTGAGTGAAAAACAATTTAAATCTAAATCATTACATGTAAATAATGATATAGTTGTTATTCCTCGTTTTTCCAAACAATTTTCGTTAAAAAGAAATATATATATATATGTATATATAAATTGTAACTTATAAGAAAATTGAATTACAGTAATATAATGAAGGACATACTGTGATATGAACGTTCGTTTCCTGTCGCTTCTCTTCAAACATGTCTTCATCCGCCCTTACCTTTCCAAGCCCATTCTTTGTGGTAGATTCATCAAGTCGTAAATTGACACGGTTTCCGATATACACCTTTTAGTGCTGATCTACTTTTCTGCCCATTTGGGTCCATTTGGGATCACATTCTACATGAAGCCGTCTTCAGTGGCCTCCATCTTGGCCTGTGAGAGCGAGATCACCGAGTTATCATCGTTCATGGCTTCTTCCACCACTAACCGGTTCCTCGGGAAACCCGCTGGAAGACCAGGATGACGCGCATGGCCCGTGCGAAGCTGGAATTCTCGGCTTCAAAGGCGTGAAAGTGAACAAGTTCAGGAAACAGCTCCCATGAAAAAGGGGCCCCCCGCTTGGGCAATTGACCACCCGGCTACCACGTCAAGCCGCCAAGGTTTCTTTCCTCATCTTCATCACAACCTCTACCAACCCACCCGCTTTCTGACCCGCCAACCCGACCGTGCAGTCTGGGCCACGGCGAGCGCTTCTTCTGCGGCTTCGCCTCCGGCACTGGCGCTGGCGCTGCAGCCTCATTGGCTTCAGCCATGACCTCGGCAGAGCGAGGAGCACAGAACACCGTGCAACGGGCAGTCTGCCCATCACTGAGAGGAATGCGACCCCCTGGCTGCGCTGGGGGTTGTGCCAAACCACCCAGGGGCCAAAAAAACACCGATGACGTCGCGGCAGCCGCGCGGACGGTCTGGTCTAACCCTCCGAGGTCCCCGGCGGTTCGCCGGTGTGTTCGCGGATTCGCGTCGGTTCGAATTGGTCTACTTTCGAGCCGGATCAAAACCAAACGTCACAAGCTCATCAGGCTAAAGAACTGGCAGACTGAGTGAACCTTCTTCAAAGCGCGCCGTGCGCCAAGCCGGACCCCCGTTCCCTGACACAAGTCGCCAAAACGCACAAACACCGGCTCTAGTCATCTCGAAGTCAAAAGGAATGAGTGTGCCCACTAGTATGCACACCTCATCTAAAACATCATGCTGTACAGCTTGTCTTTCTGAGGCCTGGATGCAACGAGCGGTTTTTATGGGAACATCGTCAGCCCCGCCGCCCTCCTCTAAGGCGTCGAGGAGTTCGTGGACAATGTCCACCTTCGACTGGTCAAAGCCACCAAGGAGTCCTGCGTCCCTGGCGCGGAGAGTAGCACCGCCGCGAAGAACAGCGCGGTGCCGCACAGTGCTTGCACGACGTGCCACGCACGACGTGCCGCGCTGCGCGTGCAAGAGTCGCTGGGGGGGTTAGGAAGATGAAGCCAAGTGACCATGGTTGGCTTCCATAGCGACATGATCAATGGTTGCAACATGTTGCAACATCAAAGCTTGTTTGGGAACTTGAGACCTTAAAAACTTAGAAGCCTACCAATCATGCCATTGAGGCACTAACCGGAGTAAACGATGCCGTGTTTGCAGCACCTTAGGCTGTCCAAACACCCCACAGCAGCCAAATAGCCTCAGATGAAAGCACTTGCAAATGACTCGCCAGTCCAAGCGGACCCAACGTCAACAATCATCCAGCGCATCCTGCGGCACTCGGTTGCGGCCCATTGCCAGCGTCAAATGCCGAGCGGCTCTGCACTCCAGCCCTTAGCACCGAGCGGCTGCCGGAGTGACCAGACCTCCCCCGTCCTAGCTGGGCCGTCTCTGGGAGCCGGAGGGTGGAAAAGTGAGACGAGAGGTGGGTCATGACCCGAACGGTTCGACTATCCCAGGTGACGGGTACCCCAGGTGACGGGTCCGTTCGTGACCTGGTCTTTCAACCAGCTTTGGTTGGTTTCAAAGGTTTCCCATGCGAAGAAGCCGCTGTTCCTGACCAACCAAACCCATGGTCCGCGAACCAAACACCGCATCGGTCGAGGTGCTGCGCTCCGGGGCTCTCTGGATCCAAAATCACTCGGAGCAACTCCTCAGACTTCGAGCCACGCGCGGACAAAGGCCGCTGGATCCGCGGATGGATTGTACTGAATTGTGGCACGGTGGGGTTGACACTCGTTGTGACTGTGGATCTGGAGGTGATGGGGATCATTTCGTCCTCTTACACTCAGCACCGGGATGCATCCAAGTGAGCCGCCACACACTAGTTGTTGACAGCGCGTTGAGCCGTCAACGCCTTTGACGCAACAGGCCATGCCCGCTGGACCACCCCTCTGGTCCAAGTGGCCGTAATCGCTGCGACATGGGAGGGCGCCGGCCGCATCAAGGCTGACACCTCAGAGGTTTGCACATGAAATCGATGCCGCAGTAGATCGAATCCTATTCTAGAAGTGTCTCGGAATCCCTTTCCGGCCAGTTGGGGTCTTCTGGAAATACACAGTCATAGACTCGTAGACTCATAGATGTGGAATGTTCTTGCGGCCTTTCACGCTCACTTACGCTCACCATGCCCGTCAAAAAACTGAAGGACCTGTGCCAACAATGGTTGAAACTGGTTGAAACTGGCACTTCCCCCGTGAGAAGTCCGATTCGAAAGACCACCAACCCACACACCCCCCCCCTTCCTGCTTGGCCCCCCCCCCCAACCCCCGAGTCGGACCCCTCAAGGAGTCGGAACCTGGTTCCCCGCCCCGGGTCCTCTCGGTCCGAGGAGCCCCCTCTTCGCGCTGCAGGTTGGTGTCTCGGCCCAGCCTCGGAAACCGAGGTCCGAGGCTCTCCCGGCGGTCCCTTCGTTCGGGTCCGCTCCGCCGGTATCCCGTTCCGAGCGGCGACGGCGAGAGGTGCCGGAACCCAGGTGACAGAAAGCAACAACTCAGCAGGAGGTCCCTCTCAATTTCACGAACTCCTAGCCTCGTGGGGCCTCGTGTATGGTAATGTCCGCGCCCCTTATCATAAGCGGCCCACACAGGAGGACCAACAGTAACAGGACTTGTCCACCAACCGCTCCCAATCCCGTGATCTCGAAAGGCTCGACAGTCCTCTCCGGGTGGTGGGGCCTGGATGCGAAGTGCTGCGTCTGCTGGATGGCATCTTTGATCCGCGGATCACGAGTGATGGCCCGCCCGATCACCGCCACCACCTCCTGCAGATTCCGCCGCAAAAAGGAGAGTCAGAGGTGGAGTCACGGCATCGCTACAGAATCAAAAAAAAAAGTGAATTCACGGGCGAAGTCTACTGTCCTATAGACAAAAGGTGAGTCCTGCCCCCGGGCAACCGATGTGGTGTACAAAGAAAAAGTGAAAGACTCCTACTGCAAGGGCTGCCAAAGAGATCGACGTGATGTCGTTTGCAAAAGCCGAGAGCTTCAAAAAAAATAGAACCCCATTCTTCAGCCCGTTTCACCCCCCACCATCACGCAAGCGAGGGGACATGAGAGGAACCATGAAGACGAAACACCTGATGAGATCGATCCGATTGCCCCTGCATCCCCCGTCCTGGTGCAGCTGCATCAGCGAAATCCCCGCAGGGCTCCTCACCGCGCGGAGCCGTTCGTGGCCTTCCTGGCGGTGCTGGGTCCGTCGATCGGTCCGGTACTGCTGGGTGTCCATATCGGGGGGAAGAAGATGGAAGAACCAGCAGTCACCAAGGGTTGATGTTTTTAGTCTTTAAGTGGAAAATGGGCACCCCTAACCTCCATGGATAGCACCCCGTCTTGTGACTGCTGGAAGATGGAAGTGAACGGAGACCGTCCGTGCACAGCAAGCTGGATCACCCTGTGGTGCTTCTCCTCCTCTTCACCCGCTTTTGGGCTCTTCTCCCCCCAGGTCCTCCGACATGAAGCCCTTCAAGCCCAAGGCGATCTCCGGCGCCGCCGGCAAGGCACCCAGCTTCAGCACGTTGATGCACTCCGAGGCCACAGCCAACATCCTGGTGAGGCCAGGGACGTTTCAAGCAGCCAAATGCCGAGCTTTTGTTCCCCTTTGGGCGAGATCTGATCCACCAAATGTCTCTCGAGTAGCATGATTCCAAGGAACCCAGCGAGCGGCTCCAGATCAGATCGCGACTGTGGTCTCACGTCTGTTTTCAGGGGACTCGTCCAAAACCGCGCTTTTGGTCGGTGTTGCGCATGCTAATCAACTATATAATCATCACACTGCAAAAGCTTTGCCAGCATAGAATCCCCAAAGGCGGCACACTGGTGGGGATGCCTACTCACTGCAAGAAGTAAAACACTCACCATCGTCCGAGCGTCGTGTGGTTGGACTCCTTCACCAGCACCTCCGCCATCCTGCGATGCGCAGTCGCGCAGTCCAACAAGGCATGCATGGACGCCGTGCCAAACATGGGTTGATGGCCTTGAAAGCTGAAGACCAGCATGGGAGTGTATTTGGGTCGCAACATGCAAACGAAGGTGCCTAAAGTCAACTAGGCACCCACGGATGTAAGAAATCATGCGCTTCTGGGAGGTGCCTGCCCAACCTGGGTAGGAGGCAGACCTGCCCACAGCAACCATCACCAACCGACCTGCGCCGTTCCCAGTTTTCTCGTCCCGTCCCGTGCAGATTCAGCACTGCAGGAGCCGCATGGCCCAGGACCCAGCAGGCGGCGCATCGGACCTTCGGGTCCTGGGGACGCGACAGACATCGGTCGAAGACGGTCGATCCACTGGAGGAGGATGGGGATGAGGACGCTGTGGTTCCATGTGGTGATGACCTCCTGGTGTTGACGATTGGCGCCTTGGAACCCGTTGGTGGTTTACCACGTGTTGTTCACCTGGCTCCACGTGTCTCCACATGGCTCAGGAGCCTCCACATGTCGTACGCCAGGAGCAGTGGATGTGGGTCCTCGTGCTTCAAGCGTGTGACAAAGAGCTCCACATTTTGGGGTACCACCACCTGGCTCCAGCGACGACGACGCAGCACGACGCAGCGTGTCTTCGACGGAGTCCTTTGGCTCCTTGCGACCGATGACGACACAACTGGTGAATCCGGGGCTGTTGAGCCAAAACCTCTGGGCAAAAATGCGGAACTCCATATGTTGGTATCGCTCATCTTGTGACCAGACCCTTTTGGCTTTTCGTGAGTGTAGCGGCGTATGCTGTACCAGCCAACCCTGCTTCGCCTGCAGGTCGGCCGCCGCTAGACCAGCTCCTTCCGGTCAGTGTGTAGTGTAGGGTAAGCGCTGCGGAGGGGTGATGGAAAGGGATGACAGGTGTGGGCCGTGGGTTGTGAGACCAATGCTGTGACGTCTCGCCACCATTCAAGAGAGAACTGCCCTCATGGCCCACGCCCGCCCCACGCGCACACCAAGCTCAGCGGCCCACCCAGCGTCCTAGCATCCGTTCCTGAGCGCTTTCGACCCACATGTGCCGCAGGATGCGTGCCACACGGTGCCTTTCTTCCGATGCCCTCGTGTGATTTAAACTGGTAGGGCAACCCAGCTGCTCCAACGAGCGCCGACTTCCCTCGTAAGAAGGGGAGAGGAAAAAAACGTTTCAGGACTCGTCGCGATTCGAAGAGTCTCTTTGCAGCTTTCTCCCTCGACTCCGGAACATGCGCCCATCGCATCGCGTCGCATTCCCGAGGCTCCAGGGTCTTCTTGGCGGAATCCCGGCACACCGCGCTGTCGTCCGTCAGCATGCGCGCGATATCCTACCATGGTCTCAGCAAGAGCATCTTGGGAGTCAAACTGGTCTCTGGGTGACAATATCGCAAAATATCGCAAACACTCCCGACACTCCCTGAAGTAATCAATCATAGAAGTGGATGGTACCACCTGGTTTGTGGAGGATTTCATGGCATCCAGCAGGCATGATTATTTCAGGGTGCGCAAGACAAAACAATAGGCACCCTAGAGTTATTGAACGAACTTACTAACTAACTATGCGGCCATGTTTTCTTTCAGGCTTTTTGCACTATCAGTGTCCATCCTTCATGACCGATCTTCATGACCAGTTACGGTCGCTTGACCAACACCGTTCAAAACTCTCAACCCAACTTCTGGCATCAATCTTTCAGAAAAACTGGCGACTGCTGGCTCCATCACTTTTGACCTCCAGCGTGCATCCGCCCCGCCCCGCACCGCGGTCCTTCGCGCAGCTCAAGCCGCCCACACTCAACCGGCCCAGTGCACGCACGGTGGCATCCCGGACCTGCCAGTCCTCCGGCAGGTGGGGTGACAGGTGGCAAGTTGCAAGCAACGCTGCTCAAAACAAGGGATTCGGACATGCTTAGACTATCTTAGATTGAAAAGTCTTGAGTCAACCCCAACCCCACTCGAAGACCGGCTTGTCCTATGTCTTGGATGCTCTATCACTGCTGTCTTTGCATCCAGGCCCTTCCAAAATTTTGACTCGGCTCCTCATCGTGCAAGCTGGCCTCAAGAACCACAAGGCAAAGGAGATCTAGTCAAAATTCCCCCCAATGGCTCAAAAGATATGGAAGGATGAAAACATCTGCTCAAACTCTCCTCAGTATCATGATCATTGACCACTGCCCCTTGGAATTCACAAAAAATAAAAGTCTGCCCGAGCACCTTCAAAGACGGCAAGGCTGCTTGGCCGGCCACCACCACATCACCCACCTCAGATTGCTGAGGATACTCATGGTCCGTCCGTCCAAAAATGGGCTGAGATGCTCCAAGACTCAAGACCTAAGAATAAGACTTGACTGCCTGGGAGCCCTCAAGCTGGCTTCTTCCAAAATCACCATCAAAGCCCAAGGTCACAACTAGGACGCATAAGTCCGTAGGGACGACCACAACATTTTATATAAGTCAGCGACAACTAGACCGTCCGGAGGCAGTCCAAAAAAGCCGCCAAGTGCCCCGACGATCGCCTTCTTCTGCAAGGCATCGAGGGGTTCCTGCGCAACCTGGAAGGGACGACTGGGAGAAAACACGCAGAAGGCATGCAGGACAGTCACGGAAAGTCAAGGGTAGTCATGGGTCTGTTTTGTGGAGGCCTGCTGGGCGTCTTACCTCAAGAAACTGGCCCTTTCCCTGCTTCGGATGCATCTCTCTTTGGCGTCTGTCTCGTGGCGCTTGAGCACGCCTTGCGCACCAGGGGATCCGCGTCCGCCAGGTGGAACGTCCTCGGGCAGTGGAGGAAGCTTCTCAGGGTCCAAGAAACGCCTTTAGCGTCAGGAGTGGCTTCTGGTTGACAGGCCAGGAGTCCATCAAGCGCCTGAACCATGAACCGTTTAGATGTTGCGGGTCATCACGACTGCTCACCTCAACTCGCCTGAGCTTCTCCTCCCACCCAGGCAGAGTCAACTGGCCTGAGCTTCCCTCTAACCCCCGGTCCCAGGCACAGCTCCGAAACCGCCTGCGCCGCGAAGCTGGCGGGCTTCTTCCCCCAGACCTGGAAGAAGGAAGGTGCCGAGCACGCGGACGCACCCACCCAGTGATGAAGAAGCATGGCATCGGTCAAAGCCCATTTGGATTTCATCTGGATGGTGTCGGTTTGAGTAGAATTTGGATTTCATCTGGATTTCATTTGGATTTCATCTACATTGATTGTAGAACTGCATCTGGAGGGTTTGAGTAGAAGCCTTTTTTGGCGTGCACAACAAGCTACACACTGCTAGCTAGGTGAACCATTGCAAATGCCATCTTATCAGCTGCAACACCGCTTGAAAGAAACCCATCATAGCTATAATATTCTACAATTATAGTCGTACAAAGTGTACACCCCTCCAACATGAAAGGACAAACGCACACGCATTCCCTTCACCAAATCTTTACCATCTCGATCTACAGTAAAATACGTGGGTGCATGCAATCAAACTCTTGCCTTGCCTCTGGCAAACACATCCCTGCGAGGGTCTGCGCACCTCAATCTGGGTGCGTCACGGCTCAAGGTTTGCCATCGGCCGTTGCACTATTTCCTACCCATGCCCAATCTATTGCCCAGATGCATGGCCCATTGCCGAGCTGCATCAGTTTCCAGCCGTTGTGGGTACACAGGTGCGCAAGACACACATTCAGTCGTTGTGGCTTGTTCTTTAGGTCATTAATGCGGAAAGGCACCGGCAGTGACAGTCAGTCCTATATATCCAACCTGCTCAGAACCCCATAACTGCCATAACTGTTTGCAAATCTGAAAGCTCTGTGATCGCCAACCTACCAACCCCCCGTGTCCTTGTCAGCCAGACGTTCGCAAAAGTCTCCCAACCCCGCCGTTCCATCTCCGCTGACCCGCCCACCCGCGTCGAGACGGGCACCTGCACGTCGCACCCGCAAGTTGCCATCGCTCAGTGTGGCACGCAGGCGGTTGAAGACCTCCAGAGGTGCAACTCGCGCCCCAGAAGTTCAACACACACCCAGTAGGAAACCCAACTGCCAAAAACATTGGGAGGCGCCAGCCACTCTCAACAGCCTGTTCCTCTTCACTAGCCAGTGGCCAACCGGAAGCACTTGCACATTCGTCCAAAAAAAATAAAAAATGATGCCTCTATGAGACCGGCACATCTGCGCGGATTTGGCTCCAGGCTTGCCGGTGGCGCGACGCCAGTTGAGTGCCCGGCCAGTTTCCCCGCGTCCTCATCGAGGCACATGAACTGCTCCAAGGCATCCTGGCCCCACCCCCGAGCCCCCCCCAGAACACGCAGAGAAATGGGATCCGACTCATCGCGAGAGTCGCTCCACTCCGCGCGTCGGCCCTGGCCTTGCGTCTCCGCCAGTGATCATCCGTCAAGCACCTGAGAAGGCAAATGGCATGTCTTCCCCACTTCTGCTGGATCTTTTGTCTGGCTCGCTAGAGTGAGCTGACGGACTCTTGTGTCAAGTCAATAGCAGTGCCGAAGTGAACCAGTTGGTTTGTCACGCTCATCCTTCTTCCAGCCTCCCTCAGCAAATCAAAGATTTTACCTTTTCAGCCGAGGCACACTGCCAACTCAGGCGCCGTGGAAGGCATACCGTTGATTGGACATGGCTGGGCACGTGTTGGATGGGTGAAACATCACGCAACGATGCGAGACGTGCGAACCTCGAGTGGCAAACTCAGCTGGAGACCCCGTCTTGAGTCATCTGTGTGTGTGTGTGCGCGTGTCGACTTTGAGCTGAAAGAAGAAGCATGCAGGGAAAAAACATGTTTCATCGCCTTCCGGAGCCACTATTTCTGAACTACGGACTTGAAGCGTCCATACTAAGCTCTTGAGCCACGGATTTCACCAAAAATGCTCACACAGTCCCCGAAAACACTCTTCATTCCGTTCTCCCCAATGTATGATACTGCATGACTATGAAAACAAAAACGGCCTTGCAACACTGCAAAGCTCTAAACACTAGCGAAATGCCAGCGCCAAAAAAGAAGCTTTCCAAGTATGACGAACACAACATGATGTTCCCTGGGGGTTCGTGTGGGCCGTTCATGGTATCCCCCTCTCCGAGCGCATGCCAGGGGCCGTTCATGTTTTCCGCCACGGAACGGTGCGCGGCGCGTTCCGGCACCCCCCACGCTGACGCTGAACAGGTCTGTCCCTGAACAGGTCTGGATCAGGTCTGGTGCCACAGCTCCATTTGGTGGCCCACGTCCACACGTCGCCGCGGCGCCGAGGTCGCGCCCTTCGGACGTGTGATTCGTCATGCCCCCCCCCGAAGCGCCTCCCTTCTTGGCCGCGCAGCTGACGCCTGTCTGAACAAAAAGTGGTCCAATACCATTCCACTGGCCTGTCCGGAGAGCTATGACAGGCTGAGGCGAAATAGACGTATCGAGCTCCGAGTTCCACGCGCCCCGCCAGGATCATCATGGCTACCATCTTCGTTCAACTGCACCTCGGCCGCGACAAAGAGTTCCCGAGCGATGTCAATTTCGAGCACCTCCAGGGAGCAGGCGCTGCATGCATCGAAGAATGCGTCAAGACTGCTTCCAACATCTCCATTCTCGCAAGCCATGCGGTCACAGAGTGCAAAGAACACGGGAACCGGTTTCCCACGCGGCCGTGTCAACAACGCAACAACAGTTCGGCATAAAGCCTCGCAGTTGTAATATCGTGGGTATACGATATCGGAACCCAAGATCATATCCAAGTGGTCTGGAACCTCTGACGGTATTTCGGTCTGCTCCTCCCAATCCCACTTCACACAAGTCACATTTCCAAGTCCACTCTTCTCAACGTTGTGTTGGAGGTTCACGAAGCCCTGCTCAGCACCCTCAACGGCCACCACCTTATCCACGTGCTCTGCCAAGCACAGGGCTAAAAAACCCGTCCCGGCCCCCAGTTCCAAGATCTGTCCTCCCCCCGTGGGCACAAGTTCATTCGAGGTGAGCCACTTGAAAAGGACCCGGGCCGCCGGCCACACCATGCAACACGGATCGTCATCGAACTCACGAACTTCCATGAACTGAATCTTCCCAGGATTGAAAGAATGGCATGCGCTGCACGACACCGTGGTGTTTTTCCGCTGAGAAAACACCGGCGATGTCCCAACGACGAGTGGCTACTTGTTCAGACTCCTTGAGCCGAGGGTGGCGTCACACAAACTGCACTGGCCCCAAGCAGGACAAAAAAATAGGTAGATACCTGGAACCTGAATGACTTTTATTTTGGACCATCAACCAATCAAAATACAGTCTTTTCCTATCAAAACAGAGGTCATGGGTTCTAGTCTAGGTATATATAATTCGCCAGAGTTTCGTCGTTGGATTAGTTTTTGTCCTGCAGCGAATTTTTCAGGGAGTGGCATCTCAATCACACCAACCTTAGGTACATGCCAGGCAACCTAAGCAACCCAACACACCCGAGAGAGCTGGAAACACCGCAAAACAGGCGAGCCAAACAATCCAACACCCAAAACAACTGCAAACAACCGGCAGCCGGACCCTGCAAAACAGGACCAAACACAGCCGGAGACAGATAGAGGAAACTCTACGACCAACAAGGGCAAAACGGCCCACGGATCAATAGCGGCCTCAGCAAACTACCAAAACTTGAGAGCAGGAGGGCACCAACAGTAAGAAACTCAACAGGGTGACAAAAAATTTGATGAAAATGATCACTTTGACATACTTTGACCGCAAGGGCCACCCACACCCCTCGCCACTGAGGAGAGAAATCGTGATGGTGACGACTCCCCAAGGACAAACAAGTAGTTGTTTCCATTCTTCCACAAAAGTGTTTGCGTGCCACGAAGCTTGACACCGCGATGTAGAATGTGGTTACTGGCACTCACACTCCAAATGTTTACAAACAAAAGCAACCTCACCAAACCAACTGCATCCCTTTTCATTTTCAAGTCCTAGCACGCGACCGAGCACAATAACCTGGAACTTGGTCCGGTGCTTCTGAACTGCCCAGGGACTTGGGACCGCTGATGTGCTCCCGCATGTATATCATGGCTGAAGGCCACGAGGCCTCAGACATTGATTGAAGTGCAACAATAACATGCCGACAATACTGGTGCTACAGTGGCCTAGAGTCACTTAATCGTGGCACGTGTTTGGTACCTAGTGGCAAACGATATGGTAGAGTACTTGACGCACAAGATGGGCCAAGGTTGGAAGGCCGCTACCAACATCAAATTGGACTGTTTGTCGTTGTCATTCGGTCAAGGGCCACGTTTGCAAGGTCCGCTTGTTTTTTTGTTTGCCAGACTTATAGTAAATCGGAAACCTGGTCGCATAAATATCCATATGGTTGTATTGAAACAAGTGTAACAAGTAACAAGTGGCCTTTCAATGTGCCATCGGCACATCACCATATGGAATGGTGTGTGTGACCACAAAGAGCCGGCAAATGCGCAAGCATGGCATCGCTGCTCCGTCGTCTCCGTTTCCCTCTTGTTCGTGGTCCGTCCGTCAGTGCCGTTGCGCCGTCTAGGGACCACCGGGCGTGACCTGGCTGTGCTACATCGGGAGCTTTGAAAAGCAAGGCCGGACCGCAAAGAGCACCGGCGTGGGTGTGTCGAGGCCGGCACCCGAGTGACTACCAACGTCCTGGTCTCTGACTGAAATTTGGAACCGCCGTCTCGACCAACAGCGGATTGAGGTGATCGCCCACGCTTTACCGTTGCACAACGGAGCACAGCTAGCAATCGACACCACCATGATCTCCCCTTCGAACGGTGCGGGGCAACCTCGCCCCCAAGGACACTACCCAGAACTAGGGGTTCGGATCTAATTTAAGATTTGTTGTTTTTCTATGATTTCCGTTTTTCGTGGCAAGTGCAACACTTTGTGGACCTTGATGCGCACATTTCGTGGCAGGCACAGCACTTTGCGGTCCTTGAACTGCAAATTTTGTGGCAGGCGAAAAACTTTGGGTACGTACGTTGCAGTGCAGAATTCGTGGCAGGCGCGTTACTTTGTAGACCGTGAAGTGAAGAAGATTTCCGGTAAGCGCAGTACTTTGTGGATCTTGACGTGCAAATTTCGTGGCAGGCGAAGCACTTTGTGCACCTGGAAACGCAAAGAGAAAGAGGGAGAGAGAGAGAGAGCGAGAGATAGAGAGAGAGATAGTGAAACATTGATAGTTATATACAGAGATAAATACATAGACACATAGATAGATAGATAGATAGATAAATAAATAGATAGATTGATTGATTGATTGATTGATTGGTTGACTGCTAGCTTGCTAGCTAGAGCTACATAGCTACATAGCTAGATAACTAGATAGCTAAATAGATAGATGGGTGGACAGACAGACGCATAGGTAGACAAATATTTGGACCAATGGGTAGCACAGTGTTGGAAAAAACTATGTTGAAGGCTGGGTGTGGTTGAAGTGGCCCTCACCCTCCACAACTGTGCGGTTTTGCAGGTCCTGTGTCATTTAAACATGTTCACGTTAACCAAAGTTAAACAGCTAAAGCCTTGTCCCAGCTAAGCGAAGGTGGGCCGTATCATCAACCCTTTTTGCGTTATCAATTCAATGAAGATACCGGTTTTGGTATTTAGTTGTCCCGTAACAATCGCTTGAATTAAAATGCGGGAGGCGCGTGGGGGAGGGCGCAGCACCTCCCGCGCAACGAAAACAAAGTATTGTCAGCATCCCAACACTGAGGTCTGGACCGTCGGACCGGCAATTTCCTCATCTAAATTCTCCCTCCGGGTAGCTCACAAAAGGTTCGCACCTGCCTCCGCCAAATTTTACCCTCGTGTGGCTAAATAAAGCTATGCGCCGTTGAAATGGAAACTGCGCCCTTTAAATTCCACCACCTGGTGGCGCACACAAGGTATGCTGACAGTTTCCTCCTCTAGATTGGGCACCGTAACAAGGTGCAGGTTGGCCATTTCATCCAGCTTTGTGGCGTTGTCACAGCTAAGCGAAGGTGGGCCTTATCATCCACCGTTGTGGTTTTGCCAATGCAAAAACTCCCTCACAATGAAAAACAAAATATAGTCAGCAACCCGGCAATGAAAGCAACCGCCTGAATGAAAAGGTGCGCACCGTTGGACTAGCACTTTCCTCATCTACTCCAAATTTTGCCTCCGGCTGCACACGGTTTGCACCTTCCTCCTCTAAGTTTGAAAACCTCAAAAGCCACAAGCCCTCGCCCTTGCTTCCTTCCTGCCTTCCTTCCCTCTTTCTTTTCTTCGCATGGCTGGAAAGCCACGAAAGCCAAAAGCCAAATGCCACAGAATCCAAAAGCCACGCAACACGCGAAAGAAAACCAAAAACCATACACAACCCAGAAGCCACGAAAGCCACGAAAGTATTAGATGAGGACACGCCAGGACTCAGCACACTCCTTGAGCAGCACCCCCGGCCTCCCCTCTGTACTCGTCGACCTTGAGGGGGCCCCCCAGATTTGCCCATCCTATCACCAACCCTTTATGACTTCTCGCACATCCAGTGGCCCCCGATATACAAATGCCTTGCACATCCGGGAGCCGTCGGTATAAAATAGTTTTTCACCCGGACTCGCTGCGGAAAAAGGTGCGTAAAAAAATCCCTGGAACGGGTTGTTTTTCCAATGGCCAGTCTCCAGATGTGCATGGGCAGTTGACTGTATATTTGCCAGTCTCCAAAAATGTAGAATCCAAATAGGTACGGGGGGCAGGGTGAAAACTGATGGTGGGGTTGTCGTGGTGTTCGATGCCATCGATGTTGGTGGTGGTGGAGGGGGGAGGTGGAGGAAGCTGCATGCGAGAGATCGCATGGCGGCCGTATGCCGTATGCCGCCCACCGAAGCATGCGGGCCGCAATGTGCTGGGGATGGACTATGTTTTACAGCGACACTGCAAGCGCAGGAGAGCCGCTGCTTCAGTTCTGGGCGCGTCCGCTCCAAAGCCCTTCTGGCGACGTGGAGCCCTGCCCGCGCGGTGTTTTGTTGGACGGCTAATTGGCACACGTTTCACAAAGGGCAAGTCGCCGCTTGTCTGTGGGTGGGTTTAACTATGTTTTAGCAAGCGCATATGTGCGTGTACACGTATAAAACCTGACGTGTTTAAAGAAATTTGGCAATTTTGACGCCGGGTGCTCAACGTGGCATCGTGCGAAAATGATTGCCACATAAGCAAACACAAAACGTCGAAATGACGGCGGACACCAGGCAACACCGTAGCCGCAGCCACACGAAATGACAACATGTCAACACCACAAGCCAGGCCAGCAAAACTGCATTTCCGCACAACGCCGCAACAACGCCCCCACCATAGAACAGAGTGCGGTGACCTTGTAGGAGCTTGTGTGAGCTTGTGTTGGGGGATCTTGTTCAGGACAGACCGCACTGCAACTTGTTTCCAGCCTGCTTGTTGTCGCGCGGCCTGCTTCCAAACTAGCTCCACAACTTGCCAACAAACATGCTCCCCCTCGGACACTTGTCCGGGGTTTGCTCCGGAACTTGCCGCGGAACTTGTTCCAGCACCTGTTCCGAACCAACAAACACCTGCGTGCACCTGTGACCGGAAGTTCACAACCAATGTTCAATTCACAGAAGCACCGCTGCAGACTTGCTAGGGGCAAAGGGAAAAAAAACATGGATATCTGTACGGGGCACGAATTTGCCACATTCAAAAAGCCGATACGAGTCAGGACATAGACATCACCCACAGCCATCCCTTCGGACACCAAACTGGGATAGCCGCTGATACGTTGAGTCTGGCACCAAGAAGTCTACTTGGAACATTTTCCACGGACCCTTTGCACAATCACCCATTTTTGCCGCAAGTTGTGTGCCCTGAAGCTGTTTGACGTCAACACATTTGCACTAGAGAAGGCGCACAAGCCCTCCGGACCTGTGCACATGCACCCGCCCACATCACAACTGCTTGCCATTGTCCATGCACACTCGTATCATATCTCGCTTTCGTGTTCTTTGTCCCCTGTGTGCATTTGCAAATTACGGCGGCAATGCTGTGCGAAACCTCCCTCCCCGGGCGCAGGAACTCGCAAAAGTTGCGGCCAATATATGGACAAGACCTGTAGCAACAAGGTGCTAAGCACAAACTAAGCTTCCCGTACGTCCAGGAATGGGAGTCGTGTTCGTTTGACGGTGGCAATCTTGCAATCAAAGAAGGC